CCAGGTCTTGGGGGAGGCAGCGGGGCTAAAGGTCGCAATGTGGCGCTTACTGGTGGGCGGGCCACCACCCGCCGGGCGCGTTGATGAGGGGCGGTTGGGCGGAGTGGTGGGTGTGAATGGAGGCCAGCCTGCTGGCAGATTAAGCGACCACTCCGATTAGAGTAAAGCGCTTGGGGTATGCCACCGGCAAACAAACAAACAGCGGAGCGACAGATGACGATAGACATCGCACATATGAGACTGTGCCAGTTAAAATATAATTAGATCTGAAAGGACCATGGGTGGCAGGCAAACTGGGTGACTACCGGGTGGCTGTAGTAAAAATTGAACAAGGCAATCTAAAAAATAAATCAATTTTTAAAAAATATGCACATTGCTGCCCAGATAGTAAAAGATTGCTGTGTCATATTTAAGCGTAATTGAAAGTTCTCTGGAAAAATTTGAATTAATTCTCTGTTATGGTCCTCATTAATACTTAAATTTACTGGCTTTAACCATACAATAATGTAATGAACCTTATTTTGTGTTTAATATATGTACTTATGTATTGTAAAATTTATTTAAATGGGAATAAGTTGTACATTTTCTTTAAAAGACCTTTTCAGAAGCGTTGTTCTGCTGGATAGGTTTTAGTCTAGGATCTATAAAATAAATAAATAAACACCACCTAATAATAAATTCTTTAATAAACTATTCTAATCCCAGATATCCATTTTACCTGTAGCTCCTAAAACAAACAACCCAAACATCAAGTAAATAAGCATATCTCTAATCACTGCAATAAAGCAATAAATTCTACCAATTGCCACTCGATGAGTTGCCCGATGTCATGCTCCCGTTCTGCACCCTTTCCCATTACGCACACCTAACCGCTCAATTGTCTGTGATGAAGGGAATCCCACACACGCACTGGATGACTCCTCCCCTGGAATCGAGCCCCGTCCCGACCCAATACATATCTTCTACGTGGCATCTACCACGCTGTCAACGGAGCGTGCGCCCTAATGCTCTTCACATAACATTTTGATCATTTTATGATCTGTCGATTAGCCTCATTGTTGCTCGCAGGAAGGCCCATCCCTGAGGCCTGGTAGACTGGTAGACAGGACGTCTGGATGAGCTCGGGGGTTGTCCTTTGTGGCACACTCTTCGAGTTGCTTTGAAGTGCGTTTGTGCGAGCGTGTGACTAACACGCTTTAATAGGATTAGCTATGAAGAGCACTTAAGAGTCAAATTATCAACGGGCAGTCCACAGACTCTCACTGGCGGAGCGAGGGAATGTTGTGACTGTTGCGTTTTGTATGTTTACGGTAGGCAAGGACAATGAACACAAACAGTCAGTCCTCACAATTGTGGCCCAACTTTCCCACTGCCGATGAGCTGCCAATTGCCGTTCCCAGAGGGACCCAAAGGTTCAAAGGCTGGCATTCCAGATTACGCGCATTAGTCAGGCTTAAGGACTTAGCTCAAGTGAGCAATTGAGATGTCAGGGATACTTTTATAAGTAGTGGGGATTTAGATTCTTCGTGGGAAGTGATGATATAAATAAATTTATGATATAATAATTATATCAAATATTCATTTGAAAGTGAAACTCGAGGTTTATTTCCACCAAAACATATTTGGTGGATTAAGGTTCAAAGGGTCATAATTTCTTGTTGTCATTTTATATACAATATTTAAAGGCGTTTTTTAAAATTTTTTATACCGTTTTTTTTTTTTTTTTGCTGGTCTTCAGTTGAAACAAAACGAATTATTGAAATAAAATATTCGGAAAAACACACTTTTTACAAAAAATTTGAATACCCTCTGTCATTGTATAAAATTTTAAACAAACATCACACCTCATTTTCCAAATTACAAAGAGTTCTTTGCAAGTTTTACCGCGATGTTAAGGGCTCGGAAAATGTCAACAACTTCCTTCTTCATACAGACCAATCAATTTTTTATTTTGATTCATATAATTTTTCACCTTTTTGATTTTTTTTTATTATTTTATTATTATTATATTATTATTAAGGGACACATTTGTACACCCTTGCAGAGGGTCTTATAGTTTTAGTCAAAAGTGTTTTCTTTGCACCCCGTTGAAGCATTTAATACTATTGTACATACAATTTTTTAAGATAAAGTTTCAAGGGATCGGACCCATGAAATACAAGACTGTTTGTCTTGGCCTAAAACCGATCCCCTGCAGCCTAACACAAACAGATACATACATATGTGGTGCGCTTATCGCACTAGAGAAAGGGTCGCATAGCAGGTCAGCGTGCATCGCGTTGATCAGTAGTTTTAAATAGTTTTAAGATTTTGATGTATATTTCTTATAAGAGAACTGTACAAAATAAAAGCAGTTTCTAAACGGAATTCATTGGAGTAAGACCTATTATTTGGGGCTACTCTTAACACCCCAGTATATAATTGGAACGGCCTGGATCGGCTGCCTATAACTAATTGATAGCAATTGACAATACTTTGATGTTTTTAAAGTTAGAGAATTAAAAAAATAAATACATAGTAACAAAGAAATGCGGAAAATATCTATTTTTTTGAAAAGCTCATAAGCGAAATGAGGAAAAACTTACAGTCTAAGGACTTATTCGTTTTATGTCATTCATTTTTTTTACGGACTCATCATTTCCGCCGACATTACACCATTATTGTGTACCCTCTCCCCCCTTCACTTGGATCACCACCAAAAAAATGTTGCAGGTTTTATAAAATGTACATACTCTACAATTGGATGATAATTTCATCATTTCTCTTTCCCAGGATACTTTCCAAGATAAAAATGCCTGAAAAAAAACAGAAGGTATTGGGGCCAACAAGGTAGAAGCACTAACCATACAGCATATAGACAACCCATTTCATACAACGAAAATGGACGCGAAAATTTCTTGCGACAGGCCCCAGCAGGCCCCAGAGCGGATTTCTTACGCTCTTTTACGCTCATCGTTCGTTCATCTTACGCTCATTCTCGCATTAAATGTTTTCTGTTTCTCAGTCTCTAAACGGAGCGCGATGAAGAAGGTTGGCCTGCGCTTCGGTTGATCTTTGTGTGTATGCGTGTCACACATTCACATACACGGGTGTATGTGTGCGTGCGATTTCGTTTCGAAGCCAGCGCACAAAATTTTGATTTTCTTACTTTTCAGGCTTGCTACCCTAACCAAATTCGGGTATTCGTTATTTGATGAAATGACGAAAGAAATTATATTATTTTTTATATTATATTTTTATTATTTCAGCATACATTTTTAATTTATTTAGGAATAAGATTGAGTGTTAGTAGTAAATGATTACTGTATATATATTTTTACGAATCATTAAAAATGAATATGAGAAAATGAGAAATGAGAAAATTTCAGAGTATATTTCAGTCGGAGTTACTCAAAACGCCTATATCCTTTAAGTTTTTCTTGTTCTGCAAGAGGTATCAGAAAACCAATGTAAATATGTATGTATATATATACAAATATATGTATATCTGTAAAAATTGAGCGGCGACTTTTTTAAAGTTCCAAAATATATAAGGAAATTATTAAATTGACGACAATAATTTAATTAAATCTCACAATAACCCAAATTAATAACAAGTGCCTGAAAAATTGTAAACAAAAAGGTAAACAATTCCATCAGCTGTTTTCGTGTCTTCACCCTCCCTAAAAATCATTCCATCGTTAGAGTAGGCATGCACAAGCCTCTTGCAGAACAACAAAACTTAAAAGCAATCGGCGTTTTAAGTGACTCCGACTGAAATATACTCTGAAATTTTCTCATTTCTCATTTTCTCATATTCATTTTTAATGATTCGTAAAAATATATATACAGTAATCATTTACTACTAACACTCAATCTTATTCCTAAATAAATTAAAAATGTATGCTGAAATAATAAAAAATATAATATAAAAAATAATATAATTTCTTTCGTCATTTCATCAAATAACGAATACCCGAATTTGGTTAGGGTAGCAAGCCTGAAAAGTAAGAAAATCAAAATTTTGTGCGCTGGCTTCGAAACGAAATCGCACGCACACATACACCCGTGTATGTGAATGTGTGCACGCATACACAAAGATCAACCGAAGCGCAGGCCAACCTTCTTCATCGCGCTCCGTTTGAGACTGAGAAACAGAAAACATTTAATGCGAGAATGAGCGTAAGATGAACGAACGATGAGCGTAAAAGAGCGTAAGAAATCCGCTCTGGGGCCTGCTGGGGCCTGTCGCAAGAAATTTTCGCGTCCATTTTCGTTGTATGAAATGGGTTGTCTATATGCTGTATGGTTAGTGGTAGAAGCCTACTAAAACTTCCAAATCTCATAGGGATCCATATATCTTAACGATCGGAAATGAATCAACTTTGGCCCAAAGTTAGCTTTCCTGTATTTTTTTGTTTTATTGTGTCTATACGAAAAGATACGTTTTATACGTTATGCCAGTATTGAAACTGAAAAGGCCAATCAGTTTATTCTTTTAATTAATTAAATTTTAGTAATAAAGTGACTTGGTTTCTACGTCTCCTATTTTTAAGGCTCTTTGGCCCTTCTTTTCCCATATCTTTGCGACAACTATATTTATGGTTCTTACTTTTAAGCTATTCTAACCAATCTTCTTTAATTTCTTTTAGACCACTATTAAATTCCATAGATTCCTGGTCAGCATCGATTGTCAAGCCGAACTATCCCCTTCTTATTGTTTATGAATACTGGATAGTATCAATAATTATAATATAAAATTGGAGGCAATATTAAACATACGTACAAAAATTATACACAGCTTTTCCCTAACGTCCCTGTAAAAATTCATGAACCCTCGGATGCACCACCCCCAGCGCATAAAATCCTAGGCAAGGACATGCCATCCCCGAGACGCACACTAGCGCCACCTTTAGAGCGAACAATAGCACTTCTTTAGCTCTTAATCAGGTTGCAGTCCTGACTGAAAGCTGTCAAAAGCTCAAAGGATATAATAAAATGACACATAAGTTTAAACTTACAGAGTGCAGAGTTACCGGCTCCTGTTCCTCCTCCACCTCCAGATGCTGCTCCTCCGCCACCTCCTGTGGAGCTGCTATTGCTCTTGCTGCCACTGATCCTGCCCTGCTGCTGGTCTGCACTCGAGGACGAGGACGAGGGCACGGCGGAGTGCGAGGATGTGGTGGCGCAGTCCAGCGAGGATTTATCTGCAAGACGAAGGAGCAAACAAAAGGATATTTTAATTGCCAGGCAGCGCAAATTTGCACACTCAGCATGGCACGCTTCGCCTTTTGCCACGGAAAGGACCCGAGAAAAAAAGTGAAAACAAACTGGGACCCAGGCACATAAATCTCGGCATAGATAATTGTCATCACAACTAGCTGACTGGTTTATTTATTGCCCGAATTATGGTTTTCATGGCTCTCTCCATGTCTTTGCACCCCACTCCCCGAGGCCGTCACGCAACGTCGCTCGGCAGACGCCCTCTCACCCCTGCCGCCGTCCCATCGCCTGACAGATCCTGTGAACCGCAAAGGCCATAATCGCGAGGGTTGTCACTTCGCAGACCAGCGATGGAGATGTTTAATTGCCGTAAATCTTTGTTTGATGTAAACAACAATAAGCCAGCGATCCGGGGAAAAATTTGCAACGAGAGGAATTTGCTACGCTTTCAATTGAAATGTCAGGCCGGATATGATACGAGTCGGTACGAGTACGAAAATAATGGCCCCGAGTATGAATATTATGGGAACCGACCTCTCTATCATATGTGTCAGTTTTTATAATCAATACCGAATCGTCCTTCCGTCATGAGAAATTTTTGTACCAAAACAATACATGAACCTCTTTAGTAAAAAATAAGCTCAGTTTTAAGGGAAAAATGGATTTCTCTTATAAAATTATATATTTTATTATTTTTAACATAAAAAGTATATCCTTATGGATGCAATCCTCCATAGAAAATGTTTAAATTATTACGCCAATTATTATTATTATTATCCTGGTAGATGATATTATTGTATCTCATTTGAAAGACCTACCGATCAGTCACTCACGTTTCCTTGTTTATATATATTTATGTAGCTATCATGATATGTTTTTATTATTTTCCTTAGAAAGGAAGGAAGAAAGTTTAGGAAGTTTCTGTATAACCTTTACTTTAAATGTTTTAATCTTAAAATGCCATATTTCTAATTCCTTCTAGAAAAAGAGGGATATTTCCTCTAACAAAAATTCAACGTTGGTGTAAAATATTTCTTACCAAATAAAAACTCAAAAAGAAGGATTGTAACCGTTTATGAAATAAATGTATGTCTCTATGAAAATGATATGTGGTTATAAAGATTCACTAATTCATTGTGAAATTTATCTAACTTTGTGCTGTATTCTACAGATACTATGTACATTTCTCTAACTTGACTTGGCTTGTGAAAGTGTAATTATTTTTTATGCGCTTCTGTGAGCCAAACGTCTTTTGAGCAAAAAATAATGAGTTACGCATGACAAAATCTTTTCATGGCAAAGAAAAGCGGCAAAAACTCAGCTACAGCTTGACAGCAGTCACAGAAGAAAGAGACGGACGGATGAAAGACGGGAAAGAGAAAGAGACGGGCGAGTGGGGGCGCAGGATGAAAAGGATTCGTTTCATATTTGGTTGAGCGCGTCCAAATGAGATGAGAAAAGACGAGCTGGGCGGCCATTTTGTGTCTAACGATTCCGCAAGGAGACCTCAGGGACTCGACTCTTGGGATTCTGTTTTATGGCTGGGAAAAGGCTCTTAAATCAGCGATTAAAGCAGAATAAGTTTTTGCCAACTTGGGGAATTTTATTATTAAATTTCATCCAAGTTTTTCAATGAACCAGACGGCCTTTGGACGAAACACACCAGTCAGGCCATGTCAGACCTTGTCTAATTGAAACCGAAACAGAAGCAGGACATAAATTTGCCAAAAAAAAGGATAGTTGGAAGAAGGAAGTTTTCTTATAGAAATAAATGGACATGGACAACTTGACTGGCGTGGAGGCGGCATAACAAACTCTAGCCAGGCACGCGATGAAATTGTTCGGTTTTTGATGTTTCTATCAAAAGCTGGCAAGGACCGAAGGACCGAAAACAGTCAACAGCAACCGGCTACGGCCACATTATAAGCCACATCCGCTAGCCCGGCTTAAATTGATAAATATGTAACCACAAAAAAAGCAGAAAAATAACCCAGCAATAGAAACAGACCCCAAGAGACCTCGCCGTTTATATGGATAATTCAATTTAAATTTTTTGCACAATTTTTTCCCGTTTTTATTGTTGTTAGCCCAACAAGCAGAATTATGTACATGGCTGGTCGCGGTTTTTGGCCGTTGTTTTGGCCATTAAATGTTACGGGTTCGGACATATTTGGTGGTTCGCCCTACTCGGCGCACCAAAAAGCAGTAGCTGGTGGATGGCAGATGGGGGTGGCCGTTGGCCAACATATGCTGTTTGGATGTGTTTAAATAAATACGAGAAATTTGCCACTTTTGTGGCACAACATTTTCGGGTTCCTTTTTTCCCGCTTTTGAATTCGTTTTGCCTTGGCCGGAAGCGCAGGATTTGTTTTTCCGCCATTTCGTTGACATTTTTGTGCTGGACAATTGCGAGAAGGTCAGTGGGTTGATGCACTATAAAATATTTATTTATTTTATTCTTGAAGTGAAACATTAAAGAAACATATGGTCCTCTTTATAGAAATATTTTCTAGAAATCTAGAAATCTTTTCTAGAATAACAACCAATTTTGAAGCAGTAAGTCATTTTTATAGGAAGGATCTTTTAAAGTCACTCTACATAATAGAAACCATATCTTCATGAAATATTTCTTTAAAAACTTGGTTTTAACCAAGCTAACACTTCTTTCAGTTCCAAAAATCCAGCAATAGAAACGGAAAACTATCATATTTTTATTGCCTATCTAGGAATATAACCTGCTTTGTAAATTTCATGGCTTACCTGTCCTGACTTTGTGCTCCACGTGCGACGAACTAGAGGCCGTTAGCGATGGCAGAGCCGGAGCCGCACTAACCGCATCCAAAGCTCCGGACGAAACTTGTCCGGCGCTGGACGTGATGACACCGTGCTGGGTGCCGGCAGGTGAGCACCCGGCGGGTGGTTGCAACGTGTCCAACCGGTGCCGCTGTAAGCTGCTACCGCTCCCACTGCCCACGCCGCTGCTGCTGCCCAGGACTCCGGCAGTACTGCTACTAACCGCATTATAGTTAAGGACCCCAGCCACGCCTACGCCTACACCGACACCGACACCGACGCCCACACCGACATTGGGATTGTGTGGGAGGCCGAGACAGTTACCGGTTCCATTGCCAGACTGAACGGGCAGAGTGTCCAAGCTATCCGTTAAACGCTGGCTGGAGTAAATGTCACTGGAAGCATATGTAAGATATACGATGTTATTTATAACGGTTATAATATTTATTTAAATATTTTCAATACATTTTTAATCATTTTCATGATCATGATTAATTTTCTCGTTAAAACTAAGTTCTCTTAAGGTGTGATCTACTCCTATTTTTACATCTAAAAATTTTCTGATCAATTTTTTTGGTCTTTATTCAATAACTAAGCTCTTGGTAGTAAAAATAATTTAATTGAATATATGAACGTCTTTCAAATCTCACCTAAACGCACTACCGGCACCGAAAAAACTGCTGCGATCCTGCAACGCTGCCTTGGCCTTCTCTACGCTCTGCTTTAGCTGCTCAAATGTGGACTGGTGGAAGCGGTAGGAGGTCCAGTCCGGCGAACACTGGCCGAGGGTCAGGCAGTCCTCCGTCTTCACCTGGGCGAGGGAGGGCGGAGAGACTCGCTTCAGGTCCAGCGCCGTCTGATACGAACAGGAATTCTCGTACATGGCGCACGCCTGGGGAGCCTCGATGGCTGGCTGTTGGCTAAACAAGGGATTCCACTTGACTCTGTAGAGGAGAAGGAAGACAAATTTTAAAACTTTTTTAAAACTAGCTTTCAAACCAAAATGTTAAAACTGATCTTAAAAAATAGGGCAATTTAGTGTAATAAATACAGACCATGTCAGACATGCATAGACCAAATATTATTTGAGGCGTTCTCTAAGAAATAATTTAAGGTACAACCTTCTAGGTACCATCACTCACCTCATGGCAAATTAAAAAACTAGATATTCATAAATCATAACGCCTCGTCCCACAATTAAAGACTGAAATTTCAGAGTGGCTCTCGGGCCATACAATCGCTCTAATTGCCAGAGCCCCGACACGTTAAACGAGCGCCTCTAACCTCCACCCAATCCGTAATCCATGCCATTTTTCCAGCATAATTAATAGTGGCTGCTTGTGGGGCTGCGGAGCTCCCTTAGATATAAACACGACGTGCATAATTATCTGGCTTGTTATTTATTGTGTGTACAGTCCCGCGTTCGGGCGCTCAGGACTGGGCCAACGTTGCGTATGAGCGCTGAGCCGTGCGTGGGTGGCGGCCATTTGAGCGTGGATTTCTAATGTCCAGAGCTGGAAGGGCGAACCATTGTTTCCCGGCAGTTTGGCCTTTTCGGGCGGCTTGCAGTTGCCAGTTGGCAGTTAGCACACAGGGCATGCAAATTTTTGCACTCTGCCCTCGTCGGAAGTTACCGGATTTTGATTTATGCCAACGAAATTTATGCCACACAACGTGCGACTTGTCCTGTCTCCCTTTGGCTTAAAGTCTCCCCGACCGAACCCGAGATACAAACTGAAACCGAAACCGAATCAGGACAACTTTAATATTTGAGGGGGGAATAGATTTCGTTATCGGAGCGGTCGCATCTTGAGAGCATCATCAACTTGCGCCTTGTCAGACATTATAAACGGCCTGCACACGCCTCATTTATTATTTATTATTTGTACTTGGGCCCAGGGACTCGTTTTTGCATGTAAGCAAATTTTACCAACAAACATTAGCAGGCAGACATTTTCTTTATTTTCTATTTTTTTCTACTTTTGTAGCCGTAAAGTTATCACAATCGCTGAGCGAACGCGCGCACACCGGAAATACGAGCGGGATGCCAGGATGTCGGTCTGCAGATGGGCTGAATGCTCGTCCTGCTCTCAAGCGCGTGCTGATTTCTGTCGAGCCCTGTGAGTGCCGAGTTTTGGGTCTTCGACAGTTGCCAGTTAGCAGCTGTTAATGGTGTAATGGCGTAATCCCCTTGTTGGACAAGAGATCTTTTAATTAAAAGGCCACACGTTTGGCTGCTCTTTAATGGTTTGTAAGATTTTAATGTGATTTGGGCTTGAATTTTTTATATTTGAATGCTTTTGCTCTCCGCTGTTCGATTGAACTAGTGAGCTGTTTAATTGCCGGACTAGCGCTGGCGGCTGCTGTTTGCTGGCTTATGAATATTTCCGTTTGAGTCTGCTAATTTGATTAGCAGAAAACATAAGCTTTTCCTTAAATTGGAAGGGGTGGGACCCTTGCTTTTAATAAGATTTTTTGGGGTTGGATAATTGCAATCAGCCAGACAGCAATGAAGGCTTATTTTGAAATTAAAAAGCCTAAAACAAACTTCAAACGCCTAAATATAAACTACTTTGTTATATTCAGCCCCATGAGTTTAAACCATAGGAATTTTAAGGGTTCAAGACTTTCTGAAGACAATTCAGATAAATTCCGGTTTCTAATGTAGGATTTAATTATATAATGAATAGCGTAAAGGAAGTCCTCACGCCGAATATAATTTCAAAAGAATCTTTTACAAGCGTTTATCTTTTTATTGAACATTTTTGGTATAAGATGTGTATTGCAGGGACCGTAAATAAAGATTGTTATGATTTTTTCTTTTAAAATCACAAAATATTAAATATTCTCTGAAAAAAAATAAATGTCAAAACAACCATTATTATCTGAGCAACAAAATATAACATCATGTGTTGAGGGTCATTGAGAGGTTTTAATGCCAGTAAAATAAAAAGACGAATTTATGTATCACCAGATATACCAGCTTATGGTGCATGCAGGAACTCAAGTAACGTACAGAGAGGGCGGCCCGACCTAGACATTGCCCAGCTAAAACTCTCTAAAGAAAGGACCGTTGAGTCGAGCGGCCGAGAGAGAGTCGGCTTGCGATCAACTGAGCTATTTGTACATACCTAAGCCTAATAAATAAACATTACACTAAACATTATTTAAACATTAACATTAAACCGCTGTGCTGCTCCCTGACCCGACATCATGAATAATCATTTTTTTATTTATATTTTTTGTTGCTAAAAAATATTACTTAATTCATTAAAGCGGGCTATTTATTAACTTTTTTCGATTTTTTGATAGCATATCTGCTCAAACACACATATACAGGTACCATTTAGTACCACGATTTATTAACTGTCAACCCTCCGTACCAATTAAAATTGGGAAATAGAATATGAAGCTTCTGTAAATCATAAGACCATATTTTTCTATGGAAGAATTTCAAGTTCTTATTGATATAAGAAAAGCATATCGTTCGAAAACATTTTATTGCATTTTTTATAGGTATTTAGGCAATATTTTCGTCTATTAATAATAATGATTATTTTTGATTTTTATTTTTGTTGCTCAGAGAATAATTATTATTTTGGGATTTTTATAATGAAACTCATAAAGCTTACAGGGCCTAGTATATTGTAAATATCGAATATAGTCAGCCGATCCTTTTTAAAAACCCATGTAATTTTGTTATATTTCCGATCGTTCAGTTATATGGAATGTATAGGAAATTGTCGGACTATCCTTTGAACAGATAAATTGACTAGAAATAGAATCTAGAAAAAGTTGAACAGAAGGATCTGAAGGAATCCGGAAACCTTCTATCTTCAAACACACACTAAGCATTTCCGACCGTTGAGTTATATAGCAGTTATAGGATATATTCCACGCTTCCTTCCGTACCAACCTATGTATGTATGTACACACTGCGTGTGAAGGAAAAAGTGTGATTCTAGTTTATGTAGAAGGAAAAAGACAGAAGGACACGTAGGCAGACACGCATATCTCAATTTGGGAAGTGATCCTAATCAAGAGTATTTAAAAGTTCGGAGTTCTTGGGAGAAATTTATTTGGTTATAGTTATTGCTTTTATATTATACTGATGCAATTGATTGCAATTATTGCATTAATGTTAAAAAAAGAGAGTATTTTTCTAAAAATACTAAAATAGAAAGTTCCGTCGCTGAAACAACCAACCAAAACTTACCTCAGGATTGTGCTTGTTCTTGTAAGTGAGCTTATCCGAAAATTCTACTCCTCTTCGAACTACCGCTGGAGAACTTGGAATAGAAAACACTTCACTATTGCCTTCGCCGGGTGCAGTTAATCACTCAACTCAAGTGCGTACAAATTGCACACCGGAAATGAAATTATTGTCAAAATGGCGACGGATATGCGACAAGTGAACGCGACAGCGACGCGCCACGCAAATAACGGTTTCGCAAGCCTTCGTTCAGTTCTCGAACGGATATGCAAGGAAATTTGTCAGTGCAAGGACGAGTCCAACTGGACACCGACGGCAGCCAAGGTGGGCTCCTTGGGCATTTCCTCAGGTGCACAATAACGGGACGAAGAGGCAGCGCTGAAGGACTGCAGGAGTGCAGGGTGGGAGGCCAACGAAAGCGGAACGAAAATGAAATCAAAAAGCGAAATTTCTATAATTTCCGCACAAAAATTTCCGGGACACACTGGTAGGACACATGTGAATTGTTACTATTGTATGGGTGTATTGGTATGTTTGTTGTCCGCCTCGTTTTTCTGCCACGCCCACAGCCAGCAACAAGCTAGGCGTGCACGTATGTGTCCAAGTTTTCCACTGGGCCTCCTCTTTGGCCTCTGCTCCTTGTTTACTTCACTCTTTTTGCTGCGTTTGTTTTCCTTTTTGTCCTGGCCAAGAAAGGTTGGCTCTTCCTGGTCTAAGGGATATGGGATACGGGATATTGGCGACGTGTGACCGACGAATCTAGACCGCAAAGTACCGATATTATGTCGTCCGCGACGTGTTGCACTTGGTAGCGCGCACTCCAAGTTAATGTGGCGGCCAGATCATCCCGTCCAGGCACCAGTTCAGCGCGCTCAAAGATGGCGACACACTCCTCCCACAATCAGTGGATGTGGCTGGCTGGGGGGATAGCTGCCAGGATGTCACCCCGTCGTCCGTTCCTGCGGTGGCCACTGCGCAAGCGCGCTCTCCGCAACCCCAGCCCCGTTCCCCACTCAAGGGCCCTTTTATCTGCCGCTGTCATCGGCTGCTGCTGCTGCTACTGCCACCTCTTCTATATAGTCAGCTTCTGCTGCTACCGCTGCTGCTGCCAGCTTGGCTCCGCCCCCAAAATATTCTACTGCAGATGCTATTTCTGATGCTTCGGCTGGTCCTTTGGCGCTGCGGCGCTTCTCCACGTTCTTGGGCAGCAGGCGGGCATCATTAGTGCTGCCGAAGAGAGAAGACCCCATTTTGGGCGGAAGTGCGTATGAGCAATATTTTAACAATGGCGTTTAAAACAGTTAAAGAGCGTGCGTTGGTGTGCGTATCTCAGTGTGTGTGTGAGGCCATTAGGACCCTAGTTTTGCGGGCGCTTTAAGGCCCGCAGATAAGCTAGCATAATAACATTTTAATTTCGAGCATAAGTGGCCACAAAAGGCCCCCCCGATTTCGAGATGTGCCTGCCAAAAAGGATATAATTAACATGCCAGCTGCTCGCACACATGTATTGCGCTTGTATTAAATGACTTTCAGATAAGCGGAGGGCCTGGCGACGTGATTAAAGGTCCTGGATGGGGCAGGATAATTTGCGATAAGCCGAAGGTGATTAATTCGCCAGCAACATGAAGGGAAATACCTTCAATTTCAAGACTCAACTAATGAGCTCAAATTAAAGATATCAAATATTTCCCAAAAAAACTTTAAAAATATTTCCATCTAAATTATAAATACCACCTACCAATGAGTTTTTCAAAAAAGTATTGTTAAAATATGGTTTCAAATTTTTACAAACAATGAATTTTGGAATTCTAAGTTTTAAAAATTTGTTTAAGAGATAACTGCATGTAAAAGCTTTCAAAAGCTTACTGGGCTTTCAATCCTTAGCTAGGAAACACACCCCCAAAGAGCATCATCAATTACCAGGACAACAACCAAAACAAAATTTTAAATATACAAAATATTTTAATCTTTTAATTGAACAAAACACACAAATGTACACTTATCACAAAAAGTTTTGTTGTCTATAACTCGCATGACATAAGTAGTGTCTCATATACGATGAAAGTCAGCTTATTCGCAATTGTTCTGTGTAGCCAGTGGTAAAACTAATTACAAAAACGTAAAACATTTTTCAGCCGGTAGAATGAATGTCTTGGAAATGTGGATGGTATAGAAGGGAAGGTCTGGAGTCATTGAAAAGTAACTTGGCAGTCTTAAATACGGCTCTTCGAGTTTGACTTGACTTCAAACAGTTTGCGCACAAAGAAAACCTTAAAGAAAAGCCAATTTAGAAATTAGGAAATGTTTGAGAGTGAACGGTTGTACATACCTGAACCGAACACGTGATCAATATGACCACGATTTGGCTAATCGAAAAGGTCTGGATGTAAGCGTTGTTGTCCAAGAGCAACGCATAGTCGCGGGACTCGCGATGTCGGCTGTGCGCCTGGTAGCCCATCATATCGTTGATGTTGCGCTCCACAGTACCAATAGTGGCCTAAAAAATTAGAGCAAATGTTTTGAAGTCTTTGCTTTTGGGTGTGCCGCTAAACCAGTTTGGCTTACAGTGAAATTTTGCATGTTCAGTTGCAGCTGCTCAATCTCCTTGGCGTACTTATCCCAGGCGTCATATTTAACCACCGTGATGTAGATATTGACCAGCTTTCCGGCGAAACGGGAGAACTGGTTGTCGATGCACACGGAGTAGTAGCCGCCAGGAGATACCTGGTCCGTGTAGTCTGCAGTAGCTTGCCACTGGTAGGGCTTCACCACCTCACCGGCAGGGTTGCGGACCGCGAAGCCTGCCATTCCATCACCGCCTCGCACCACCTGGAAAATTAAAAGTATTGGATCAATAAACTTGGAAAATTTCTGTTAATCCTAACCGGTTCAACTTACACTAAAAGACACGTAGAAGGTAGCACCTGCTTGCACATACTGATGGTAGCAGTCCTCTTTGCCGGCATCAATGTGAACCTGAAAAGGTGAATGTTTTAATTATATTTCAGCGTTTTATTCCCACACATCTAAAGTTGCACAAGCTTTTAGTCAATCGAAGGAATGGTTCCCATGGAGAATATGTGAGGTTCTTTTACAGCTGCAGTGTTTGAAATTCGAACTGCCTTCAATGCAATTGCATAAAAAAAGAATTGAAGGCAGACTGAACCTCTTATGACCAAACATATTTATAGTAAACGGGGTCAGAAACGTTTTCTTTTGTTTCCCACAACCATTTAACCATTGTGGTTACTCCTCTACAGGTTGAAACCACTCAAAACATCCAATAACTAGGATGTGAGAGACGGAAGAAATTGAGAATGGAACCCACCTTGTAGTCCATAGCGACCGCGGGCAGATTTTCATACCATGGCTGTTGAGCTTCATGCGCCGTGGCTACGTCGATTAGCAGACAACAACAAATCAGTGCGATCGGGAATAGTAGATTTATCTGCTCTCTCTGCCACGTCAATTGCATTTTGGGATTTTAGTCGTCGGAGTTATTGAGGAAGGGATGGGGTGTCTTCAAGGGCGTCAAGCAGCGTTTTCAAATGCCTTTTCTGTCAGCTGTGAGCGATTAAAGCCGGTTAGATTTCTATTTGCGAAATGAATAAATATTTACCAGCCAAATAAACCGAATTAAAATAAACAATCAACCTGTTGCGCTGCCAACCCGGCTCGAAAACTGCTGTAGCCAGCTGCGCGGTATTTTCCGGTATTTTGAGCTCGCGCATTTTTCAGCACTGCTGTCGGGCACTGTGCAACACTCTTGCTATCAACTAAGACCCCTTCTAATAAAAGATACTACGGCACTGGAGCCGCAATTTAGAGTAATAAAATGTAAACAAATACCAGACTTAATTTATTCAATCTGTTTTGCTGATAAAACCTCCACTTACTTTTAAGAGTGTTCCCGTGCTAATCTTTTCTCTTATCGAAGCACTCTCCTTCTCGGCCGCCTTGTGATAACACAATTTACATATGCTTGTGTTATTGTTTGCGGCTTTTTGCGATAATTGAACGTGTGGGCTACCAACACAGATGCGACATCAAGTGCTGATTAACCTCTACGCCGAGGAGTAGGTCAGATAAAAACGGCAGTGCAACTGCCTTTCGATTCATTCCACAGCTGCACCAACATCAAACATGGTCAACGTCAAGGAGGATGTTTTCGCCACCGGAGCGGTGAACCCATTTACCAAGGCCACGGAAGACATCAAGCGATTCACCCTGACTAATGGCTACGGAATGTCTGTCCAGTTAATAACCCGCGGAGCTACTATAACCAGCATTAAGACAATGGACTCGAGCGGAAAAGTAGATGACGTGACTCTGGGATTTGATGATCTGGCCGGGTATCAGAGCGATAAGAATCCCTATTTCGGAGCCACTATTGGACGGGTGTGCAATCGCATTGCCAACGGAAGATTTCAGCTGGATGCAAAGTGGATAGAGGTGTCCAAGAACAGGAACAACAAGTTCCAGCTTCATGGCGGCTTTGTGGGATTCGACAAGGCCCACTGGGAGGTTGTGGATGTGCGACGCGATGGCGTCACCCTATCGCACACCAACCCAGACGGCCATGAGGGCTATCCCGGCAAGGTAACAGCCACCGCCAGCTTCACCCTGAGCGAGGATAACTGCCTTCATGTCCTGATGACTGCAGAAACCGACAAAGTCACGCCCGTGAATCTCACCAATCACTCCTACTTCAACCTGGCAGGGCACAAAACTGGAGCCAGTGGTCTTTACGAGCACGCCATAGAAATAAACGCATACGGTATCACTGAAACCGATCAGGATTCCATACCCACTGGAAAGATAACACCAGTGGATGGCACTTCCTACGATCTCCGTGTTGCGGGAAACCTGGGAGAACGTCTCAAGGCTCTGCAGCCCGCTCGAGGGTACGATGACAACTTCTGCGTGACTTTTAGTCCTCCGCAACCACTGGCCATGGTGGCCAGGGCTTCCCATCCACCCAGTGGCCGTTGGCTGGAGGTGGTCAGCAATCAGCCTGGAGTACAGTTCTATACCTCCAACTTCATGCCGGACGTGGAGAATGGAGAAGCGCCAATTTCTGGTAAGGATGGAGCCTCCTACGGAAAACACGGAGCCTTCTGCCTGGAGACTCAGAAGTTTCCGGATTCGGTGAACCACAGCAACTTCCCCACAACCATCCTGCGGCCGGGCGAGCGCTACAGCCACGAAGTCATCTACAAGTTTGGCGTCTTCAACTGAATTCTAGACTCCCTAGCTTACCCATATATACGAGAGTTTCATGTATCCGACTAGAGATAATAACCAATAAACCAAAAGCACGCAGATTATGCAAAACGTTCGATTAGGACAAACCACACGTCGTGTCCATAAAAGTTGGGTAATCTATATGGCGAGCACATCGAAAGTGGGTTGTATAAAAGCGGTTGGAGAGTGCCAGCCCTAAATCAGTTGAAATGATCCTTCAGTTTTTTTTGTTTGTTCCGATTACACTGGGCTTCGCCCAAGATTTGGGATCCCTCCGCATTATGAATGGCACCTATGCCGTTGAAGAGCAGTTTCCCTACGAGGCTGGGCTTCTCTGTTACTTCGCTGGCTTCCCCAACAACCCCAGTCTGTGCGGAGGAGCCATTCTTAGCAACCGCTGGATTCTGACAGCCGCCCATTGCCTTCAGGATCCCGATGCTAATCTGTAAGTAGTGTCGGAATATTAAATATATAAAAACATACAATAAACTTTATTTTTCTGGCAGCACGCAGGTTCGAGTCCAAGTGGGCAGCCTCGAAGCTCCCGGTGGCGACGACATCTTGGTTAATGGAAGCGACATCATCGTGCACAAGAATTTCAACCGGAAAACAGTCTTTAATGATCTAGGCCTCATCAGGCTGCCCAAGAACCTCACATTCAGCAGCAAGGTGCAGCCGGTTAAGCTGCCCAGTTCATACAGGACCTATACCGGCCGTTCTGTTTTTATTTCCGGCTGGGGCCTGACCGACAATCAAACGGCAAGCGAATCGCTTCAATACCTCCGTACGGACGTTGTCTCCAACAAGCAGTGCCAATCACAGTGGAACAAGGCGCTCAAGGGAAAAAAGAAAAAGGTCGTGTCGTGGACGTTTGTTTGTGTTGATACCCAGCAGGGGATGCCATGTCAAGGGGACTCGGGCAGCCCAATGGTCCTGGCCGATGGCTCCAAGACGCTGGTGGGGATCGTGTCGCATGGCCTCGACCCGGAGTGCAAGCGGAAGGTGCCTGACATATCCATGCGGGTTTCAGCCTTTCTCAGGTGGATAAATTCTAACACTGGAGGTCTCAAATAAAATACCATACGATGCCTGTGAATCTCAAACGAAACAATTAAAGTGGACAGTTCTTTTCAAACGTGTGCTTTATTCTTATTACTTCGTACAAACTCCCATACATTTCCGTTCTCGATTCCGCTTTCATATTTTGTGGCTTTGCTAAATTTTCTTATCATGTTTTATGTATTATTTATCCGTTGTTATGTTATTTGTGACTTTGACGGTGTTGCATGTCGTTAAACAATTAGTTTATGATAATGCATAGATGTTCTGTTTGTGGGCTTTGTTTACGTGTGAGTGTGTGGTTAATGTTGCTGATTATTTGCAATGTTTCTTGCGATTTTCGTTTAAATATATTTACTTTATTGGTTGTCGCTATCTCGTAAATGCAGTTCTCAGAATGTACAAAACCTAATTCGAAATAATGCAGTGGGTGAGAGTGATAAACCTTGGTTCCTTCAACGATTCATTGGGTTTTTGTCCTATATGTACAAAAATTGTAAACGAAATTGTGGAGAAGCTATACAATTGTAAGTTAACAAAGCGAATAAGTTATTAAGAACTCGGCTGAATAAATAAGTTTCGTAGTTTCTTTTCAATACGGCTGCTGAAGACTTTAGAAAAACTTGTTCGTAACTAGCGTAAAATTTGTTCGATATCTTTTGATAAATATATAAAAATGCACATATTATCCGTAGTAAATAATATTTGTAAAGTAATTGTTAAGTTGTTCTGCTGTCTCTTGTTAGATTTCGCCTGATTCTCATTGCGGCTCTGGCTGGTAAAAAATGATCAAGTAATTTACTATGCGTTCAACTAGTTTATTTTCGTATTGAAATATATATGCTTTATTTTTTATATATAATTTTGTAACTTTCAATATTGCCTTTATAATTTGCCTATAAATCCATAGAGTTCGTGTGTCTTGTAACTATGTATATATTATCATACTTGTTATTATTACGGTGATCTGTTCCAATTCACAGTTTGAACCGAAAACCGGAAAGAAATTTTGCGGCTTTTTGGAAAAATGATTCAATTTCGTATAAAATATTGGTTGGGATTTTTATTTTATTTTAACATACGCAAAATATATTTTGTATATTTTCCATGTTTTCACTTAACTAGAGCTTTATGTATAAGTTATTATTTTTATTACTTTTTCTAAACGTTGCTTTCTCTTTTTGTATTTTTAATTTTTTTGTTTTTTTCTTATTTTTTTCATTGTTGAAACAGTAACTTTCAGTCATGTTGTAATCATAATACATACATATATGCAATATTACATACGTACAATAATATTCTGGTTTCGAAATTTAAATTTGTTATGAGCGCCGCGTACAATGCCTAAAAACGCATTTTTCCCTTTCTTATATAGTGTGTCGTGTTCGTAATTCACATTCAATTAGGTTTCTCTCAATATCGGTTGTATAAAAGCTAAAATGTTTTCGCTGCGTATGACAAAGTTACAATATGTTTTACCGATCAGGCGATCCTAGACCCGATGCAAAAAATTTGATTACAACTTTGCTTGTTTAATATTCTTAAATCTTTTGTTTTTCATCTCCTTTTGGCAGTTATCGTTTGTTAGGTTCCTTTTGACATGTCTGTGGTTTTCTGTTGTTGTTTTTGTTGTTGCTTTTGTTGCTGCTGCGATATCGGTTGAATATCATTAATCTCACGTATCTATATCATAAATTACGTTATCATTAATTATGTATATGCTAAGCAACTAACATTGGACCATTTCCATTGCGCGACGCACTATATAAGAAAACTAGCTACTTGATTAAATTTTATACTCGTATTTATATATTTATATCCGTATTATTATGCAATTACGTTACGTTATTAAAATGAATTACGCCAGCAGCTGGGAGACTGCTAAGGAAAGGAAACCCATGGACAACCGACAACCGATCCCGATACCGATACCGATCTCGACCTCAGGCCCAGTTCCAGCCAAGCGGGAAACTACTGTACAGCGAAGGCGTCCACCACCCGGAGAACTGCCGCTCGAACCAGCACGCACTGAAGACCTGGAGCAGTTGCTCTCGCAGGCAAACCACCACGGCCAGGAGCAACACAACGACCACAAAAGGTCATCAGTCGCACTCCGGTCCCTCCGAAAAGTGGCCGCGCACATCCAGGGCCGAGGCCAGCTGAAAGACGATGTGGGAGAGCGACGGGTGCTCCAGGAGCTCGTTCGCCGGTAGCTGAGGCTCGCATCGGGGTCGCATGTGCCGGCCCCGGAATCCGCGGTGCAGCCGCAGGACCACATCACAGAAAACGAAGCGCAGGATCAGGGTGCGAAGGAAGTCGTCGCCGAAGAACTGCACGTAGGAGGAGTCTGCAAATTCCAAGAAACCATTAATACTGAGGGCCTGTGGTGAGATGCTACTGAAGCCTCACCTATAAATCCTATGCCCTGCTCGATTTCATCGATGCGACAGCGTGTCACCAGGCGGGAGGCCTCCGTGATGAACCGATCCACATAGGTCTGGCAGCGTTCCCAGTGGTGGATGGGCACGTCTCCGACGTTGCAGATGTAGCAGAGGGCGGTGAGCGGGGAGTGCAGGAACAATGTAAACAGCGAGCCATGATGCTGGACATCAGCTACAATGGAAACTAAAGGTAAAATTCTCCATTTGAGAAAGCGAAAAGTGGATCCTACCTTGGAATGCGGGTGGCACATCCTGTGGCGACATAAGAATCACCAGGGGCTGGCCAAAATAGCGCGGTATGTGCTGAAAGACAAACGAGTTGTCCGAGTCGATGATTATGAACATGGGCCGGCGTGTGAAGGGATACAGATCACCGGGATACAGGCAGTGGTTTTCCTTGTAGGACTTCCCCCGACACGACAGCCCGCCGCCGTCCACGCTGTCCCGCTTCACACTGGTGGCCAGGCCACCCAGCTCGTAACCATCTGAAAAGTTATCATTACTGATTGTTCACAATAAGGATCAATAGACAAAGATGTACTCACAATCCTCAGGATGTTTGGTGGTGGAGAAGCAGCCATCGGCCGACATGTAAAGCAGCAGGGCTCCGCCCAGCGGTAGTTCCTTAAAGCCGCTGGCCAGGAAGACCAGCAGCTGGCTAATCGAGGGCTTATACAACAGATACTTGTGGGGATTGTCTCGGAAGTGGCGACCGTTTTCCATGTAACCCTTGGAGCCCGGTACCCCATACGGCGGTATCCGGCTGGCCGCCGGACTGGCATCGTGGCCGTGGAGACCGTGCGACATGCTCAGCGGATTGGTTGCCGACTCCGTCGGCTCGCGCTCCAGCGTCTGCAGCATCCGGAACATGTCCATGGTCAGTTCAGAGAACTTGGCCTGCTCGCAGGCGGAGCCCACGATCAGGATCTCCTGCAGGCTGAGGGTCATGTGCGGCGACCGCTCGCAGGGCGGCGTCGTCAGCGGCGACAACCTAGAACCGGAACCACTGAACACATCAGTCGGAGTAGTCACACTCGTCCTCCGGCGGTTGGCGGGGCCCGTGCTTTCACAGAAGAATTGAGAATGTGGCGCACAGATGAGGTGACAAGGGTACGGGTGTGTGTACGGGAGGTGGGGTTCAAATGATAATGAAATGATAACTTTGTGGTGTTTTTGTGTGTGATTTGGTAGAATAACTTAATTGATAAATTCTAGAATGGCTCTTGAATCCTCAACAGTTACTCTTTCCAGTAGATGTGATTGGGTTGGTGAGGATTGGGGACAAAGATCATGGAAAAAGTGCGTGACAAAATGAGAACAGTGAGTGTTTTCTGGTGTTTCAAGTCTTCTGTGATAAGCACAACAAATGAACAAAATCGAAGCAACGAAACTGAAGCAAAACTTGTATACCTACGCAAACAGAACAGGGCGCTACCCACGGAAAATATATATATATTTGGACACATAATATTCAGTTTAGGGCCATACACCTGCCCACCCCACAAGCTGTCCAAACTCCTTCTCGCCGACGAAAGCACGGGCAGAAAACGCGGCTACGGGCTAAGGCTGTGCCAACGACTCACCTGTGCGACAGGATGATGGGATTGGAGTCGGCGTGCAGAACGGCCACCGCCGCCTCCGCCTTGATGAAGCCCTTGATCTCCTCCAGCACCAGCGACCACTCCAGGTGATCCTCCGGCTCGTATCTGCAATGGCATATGATGTACTGAAGGACGGAGAGCTGAATATTCATAGTTACGTGTTGGTGTACTCCTGAATCTGTTTCTCCAGCTCTGTGACCAGCTCCCGCACCAGCTTCATCTTCTTGAGCAGCAGGCAGACGACTATGAAGCGGGCATAGTAGCGCAGCTTTTTCACCATCAGGTCGGGCCGGTCCTCCTTGGCCGCTCGCGAGTAGTAGGCCCGACCCCTAATCGCCGCATAGAACTGATACGCTTCGTTCAGGTAGTTGGTTTCACTGGTTCTTAAGCTGTTGTTTAATAAAAGTCAAGATTATCTTAAAGTTACTTGTTAGTTGCTTGTTTTATACTCACTAATAGTGGTAATAGAGCTGACCAATTTTGCTTGCTATTTCACCGATCTGCCAGCGCTTCAGGCCGTACTTTGAGTCGAGGACCATGCGATGTTGCTGCTGAAACTTCCACAACTTGGTGTAGACATCGAAGGTGCGACCGAAGTAGGCTTGCCACTGCCGATGGCCATATTGCGGCAGATCCCTAATGAAAATATATAACAAAATTAGCACAGAGCTCAGATATGAGATGTTCAAGAAACCCACCTGAGCCCGTTGAAGAGCTGCTTGGACTTCTCCAGCAAATGGCAAAACTCCAAAACTAGCTTTCGATCCTGTTCTTCCGTGGATTCCATTTTCACCATGCCGTTCTTCTCAACCTCCACCGCAATGTGTTATGTCTGCGAATCGGTTCTGCTGCAATGGAAAGAGGTACTACGTCAACAGAGAGGGACTTTGCAGGCGAACTTTTCAAAAACTGGTTGACACACCCTTGGCATATTAAATAAACAGAGTAGAGTGATTTGCCCATAAATTACGCCGCAAATAAAACGTATGAATCAGGCAGTTTTCCGATCTTTATCTAGCCATCCATCCATCTGCGGGGTATGTATTTTAAGTGTCTATCGGTGCACGTATCTGGTCTAAACGAGGGGGAGGAGCCGGCTGCCCACTTGAGATTCATTCAGCAGCTCGTTGAGCCATTGTTGATGCGGATAATGTGGATAATGCCGATGACGATGTCAATGGGCCGGCTGCTGATGCCGGGGCTCTGCTTACAATAAACTGAAATGCCTATGCGGCTTTTTTGCCTACCACGAATGCATATTAAATTTTTAATTTTTATGCTCCCGAAATCCAGCGCATAGCCTGCATTTTTGATCCAGCTGCCGTTTGGTTTGGTTTTGGAACTCGTTTTCTAAGCCGGAATATAGACAACAATGGTAGCGATTGTTAGCCATAACTGCTGGTGTCCCTGTGCCGATTCCGTGTCCGATTTCAGTACGAGGTCGAACTGGTATTCAATTAAAATTTCAATTTGGTAAAAACAATTACGGAGTCTTTTAAGTGCCCACGGACAGATGGATGAGAGATGAAATGGGATGAGACAATCGTTACTCTGGCTATGCATCAAAAGCTCAATTAATAACGCCCGACCAGGCGACCAGTCCAAATTGTTTGCCCAGAAAAAGGAAAAATGTGGCACGCTCACAGGGCCGAGATACCGAGTCGAATGGAGGGAAAACCAGGAAAATTTTGAGCGGAAAAGAGGGTAAATGCACAAAAGGGTCGGCAGTGCAAATGGCGCCACAGCGGCCACATTGATTTGGCTTTGGCCAGAACTAGGTCGCCCCACAGAGAACAAAAAGTTTCAATATGAGCTCATCAGCCAGCTCCCATCTCCCATCAGCCAGCCTCCAGCAGCCAGTTGCCAGAAGTGGAGATAGGGATGCCGAAATGGATGGGTAAATAAAGTTCCCTTTCCTTTTTTTGAAGCTGCGTCAAATATGCGTCACCTCAACAAGTCAGTTGGGGCACATGCTGCGGGAAGGATACATTTATGACGCACCAATCCAATTAGGCCTCCATTAGGAGCTTGAAACCAACTTCCTGCTAATATTAAGCATACGCACCATTGGCCAGTTTCAGGAACTGTGGAAGAATTGATAAACACGAAACAAATAAAAGGAGTTTCCAACTTTTTCTCCTTAGAGTCTTTTATCTAAGAGATTGGATTCTATTTTCAGTTAATTCTATGAGCCACATTAGCAATACATGGATATGAGTCATCTGAAGCAGTCAGGGGCCTTGCCAATTACTAGGAGGATACATTTATGGCGGCCTAATTAAATTAAGCTTCCATTTAGTGCGTTAAAATTACATAACATGGAAATTACGCATACGCAGCGTTGGCAAACAAGTGGAGAGTGGAGTAGCGAGACAGGACAAAACAGAAACGAAAACAAAACAGTGCGGAACAGAGCTGACTAACCAACTTGCCCCTCCACCCACTCACTCACCCGCCCACTGAATGACAGACTGGCTGCTGCTGCTGCTGTCTCCCATACCACTCCTGCTGACTTCATCATCATCCTCGGCAGAAGTTAACCAACATCATCAGCATGTCAACATGTAGAAGCCGGAAATGAAAAAACACAAATACTAAGCAGAGTCGTTGCCACTGCGATGTTGCTCATTAACACCCTCCCAGACGCCCCTCCCCGCCAGCACAGACACACATTCGCATTCACAGTCGGTGCAGGACATTATCAGGATGTGGGGACGGTGACAAATATTTCAAATTTAGTTTGAAACTTTTAAAGAAACTACGATCTTACTCCATGATGTTTGTCAAGTTTTTAGCTTGAGTTTAATACGCATTAAGATTAAGTTTAACAGATGGAGACTTACAGATGGAGTAGCTCTTGACATTTTTGTCGCCTGTGCCGACGTCAGTTAGTTGTTAACGTGGCAAGTTTTCCCTTTTTGCGCTCAGTGGCGAGAGCGAGTACAACTGTTGGGAGAATCCCAATCCCAGCCAAACAAAGCGTGCAAAAAAAGCGAGAAGTGGAGTGTGCAACGCACTTTGGCGTGGGAGTGACGCCTTTGGGGGAGGCAGCCCACTCCCCCCCGACTGCCAGTGCGTGCGACTGCATGTGTGTGGGTGGTTCCTGTTTCAATGCCCGCCAAGCACTCCTGCTTGCAAAACTGCAGCGAAAAGGACAATGAATGACGTATGACATGTGGGCTTTAATACTTCTAAACAGTTGGGCATAAATCAAGGATAATTATAGGGCCCCGTCACTCACACGAGATTTAAAATTATTTAATTTCTTTCCGTGCAACAACACTTTCTCCTCCCCCCGTTTCTTTCCTACAAAGCTGCACACTTTTCCGGTTCTTTTCTGCCTTCTCCTGGGGGGAGTGTGTGAGCCACCAGTCTGGATGGGGAGGGAATCCTAGTTGGTGGGGTGTGTAATCCTTCAAAGTCATTGTAGGCTACACATTTAATGGCATTTTGACGCTGCCAGCGCTGATAACGATGTTGTCGTTCATGCAACGTCCTCATCCGCAGCGAACCTGCCCCTTCCCCACCCTTTCTACCGGCGCAGTCATTAGGACTTATGAATTCGGGTTAACAATTGAGCAGATCAGAGGGCGCGGGGCAGGTCCGCAAAACTTTGGCACAGTTCAGCCTTCATAATTAATGGCAGCGAAGTTGCAACACAAAAAGGCATCGGTGGCACACTCGTCCGCATAAAAACCAACTACTTGAGTGGGCCAACTTTGCCCCAATGATATGGACGGCCGGAGAGGCAGTCGGCTCGAAAGTTACAGTTCTCATATCTCGGAGCAGACATCACAAGCCGAACAAAAAACTTTGTCAGGACCAACAAGCCGGATGCGAGTGACCAGAGCAGAACTTTTCTCCTCTGGCCCGGGGACACTTTCTGTGAACTGCTCAGTCGAAGAGTCGACTAGTCGGCCTCGGGGGCCATTTACATTTCACATTTAATTGGCCATTTCTATTTATCGAAATAGATCTCGCCCCAAAGCAGGCAAAAGTTTCGACGGCGCACTTTAAGATACTTTTTACTTTATCAACCAAATAGATACAAGATTTTTGAGATATCACAACGGTATTAAAAATTAATATATTTTTAAAATAATTCAGAGAATCTCGTTCACTTACCTTATCATTGTTGTATCTGCTGCCGCCGCCACCAACAACAACAACAGAAGCAGATAAGGAAACAGCGCCCTCGGTCGCAGTCGCAGCCTCTGCTAGCTGTTGTTTTCCTTTGTCGGGCTATCCTTTGTCGCTGCTGCCGCTGCCTCTGCCACTGCCTCAGTGAACGTCGACGCCGCCGTCTTAGCTTTATTCCTGGCGCCCTGCACTTGACATATGTTTGCCGGATATGCCTAGGCCCTTTATCCTTAGCCTTTCTTCCGCAACACGAATCGACACTTTCAACTCTTCACTATTTCACTTTTCACTCACCGATTTGGCTTTCTTTTTTTTTTGCCGGTTTGCAAGTTGGCCACTCGTATATTTGGCTGCAAATCACACACCGTCGTGGATTCTTAACCGATTTTCGGGGCCTTGATTCAAACGAATCCGGATTTCGAGCATTGAGTGCTGGGGAAAAAAGCGGGGATAGCGATTTAGAGTGGAGAACGCTGCGACCGTCGCGTTTGGCTGCACAGTATTGAATTTTTTCGCATTTACATTTTTAACGAGGAGGGTTGGGGGTTGGTATTGATTTTTTTGCCACTATGACAGATGGATAGTACCGGCGATGGCCGCCAGGGAGCGTCGATGACAGTTGCAAAATCGCAGGGGATGAACAGCTGACCGGCGAGGGTGGAAAAATTAACAACTCTACCGCTAGATGGCGCCCAATTACGTTGGATCAGCTGGATAACTTTTACGCATGCTGCACTGAAGAAAATATTCGCGTACTACTAGTTCCATCAAAAATTTAAATAAAACATAGAAATAATATTTAACAAAACAAACAAAAATATGTATGCTTCATCCAATCAAAAAATGATCAACCTCTTTAAAAGCTTTAAGAATTTAGATTTTACTATGAGCCACACTACATGAACACATTTTTTGAGTTTTATTTCAATACATAAAATACAGTAACATTTACTTTCGCATTACATATAAGCGCTAAATTATATTTGGTTTGTTGCATGATAAAATTGCTACTAAAATTGTTGCGGTTTTAAGTGCCTGCCTTTTCACTATCACAGTGAAATAAATTACATTGTTTGGATACAGTATACAATAAATGTATTAATTTATGTGTATTTTTGTATATGATTATATATATTGTAGTGTATACATGCTTTTAAAACAATAGCTAGTTGAATGATAGGTGACCATACTATATGGCGTAATCCCTTACATGTATACATATATAATCCTCTATCTATCATTAAAAGATCCCAGATCTTTCTCTCATTTGGAATACGCGCATGGCTTTTCAGTCTTTAATAAGTCCAAAAATCATAAAGTCAATGCGTCCTGGTCATATCTCATGCCTATGTACATATGCAGTTAGTTTCATATCTATAAGATATAAAGTTTGCTTCAAACCAATAGCCTACCCTTATCATAAATTCGAAATAAATTCTGAATAATCTACTCTGCGCTTTAACTCTTTCTTCTGTGTATTGTCTCTTAAATATTTTTCCTTTTAACTACATCTTATGAATTTGAAACTAACTGATTATACATTGGAATATTTTAGCTACATATTGATTCAATCTTCTTGGTTTTAAAATTTGGCTTTGGTTACCATTTTTAGTTATTTCGATGTATGGTTTTCGAGAAGCGAACGGAATTAATAGTAAGTGCATTGATTTAGAGAAGAATGGATCAGTGTTCATTAATGAAGATCTGAAAAAAAGAGTTGTGCAAATAATCCTTTAATATTCAGTCTAAATGATGACTTGCAATTGGCCAATAAAAATTATAGCTCGATCTTTTAATCATTTGGTTGTATAATCATTCTAATCGAACTGTTCCCCATTGATCTTCAACTCAAAATGCACTCTTATTTTCTTTAGACGGTTCCTGTTTATCTCTGCCCCATATTTCTGGGCTCCTTTTCCGCCTAGACGAGGGTCACCTACAACCGTGTGGCCTCAGAAACTGTCTGGACGTCTCCTGCATGGCCGTGCACCTGCTGGCTGCTGGTGGAGGTGCCCACGTCGGCAGTGGGCGGTGGCAGGTGCGAGTAGTAGCCCATCTGGCAGGAGTTCTGGTGGGTCAGTTTCTGGTTCTGGCTGAGCTGGTACTGGGCCGCCTTAATGGCCGCCTGTTGCTGGGGGGTCAAACAGTCGCAGGCAGCTAGGAGCTCCTCCGTCGACTTGGCCGTTATGGTGGTCGTTGTGGTGGTGGTCAGCTCGCCCACGAACTCGGTTGGCGGCGGAGCGTAGTTCTCCACATCGCCATAAGTAGAGTATCGGCCGTAGGGGTTTCTCCGTGGCATGGAGTGGCGCTGCTGGGCAATCTGCATCTTCACCGGAGGAACAGCCACCGTGTCCAGGTACCCGTATCCGTAATTGTAGCCCGTTTTGTTGGCCAGGTTGTCCCACGACTTGGGCTTTTGGACGTACGCGATGGTGTTGGGGTAAATCTGAGATGGCTGCATTTGGCTGGCGGCTACGTGATAACGCTGTTGGTACTCGCCTTGTTGAGGATGGTGGTGGTGGTGATGGCCCTGGTGCGGCTGCACTTGCTGCTCGTACGATTGTCTGGACTTTGTGGAGTGCTGTCTGGACTGACCCGTCTCGCTCTTGGGATCCCAGAACAAGGTGTCGGTGCTGATGGAAGTCGTGTATGAGGCAGAGTCCCCTGGAGCAAACTCACTTGAGGTGCAGGAGTGCAGGCTGCAGTGACTAGCCAAGCCAGACGCCAAATCAAAGTATCGAGACCTAGTACTGCCCGCTTGGGACTGCACCTGACAGGAATTCTGCACCTGGTGGGGATAGTGGTGGTGATGGGGCACACCCTGCAAGTGGTGCTGCTGTTGCTGCTGCTTCACCTGCTGGTCGTGACTGTGATGGTGGTGATGGTGATGGTGGTGATGTCCGGATCCAGTATTTCCCACACTTCCATTGGCACTGGGCGAGGCATGGGACTGGGACTTGGGTCGGACCCTCTGCTCCTTTGCCTCTACACGTTCCCGCTCCCTCTCCCTATGCTTGTGCTTGTGGGAGTGCTCCTTGTGCTGGCGATGACGCCTTCTAGTCGGCACACAATGTGTGTCACAGCAGGGGCTGGCTAGGTCGTATGCATCCAGACTGACATTGTCGGGTGCTGGTACGGCTGCCTTCCCAGCGGACTTCCATCGAAAATGACCCAGGCAAGGATTGCACGAGTGGCCGACGTGGCAGTGCTTTTCCTTCTCGGTTTTGGGAGGCTTGGCTGGCGGCTTGTGTTTCTCGCAGGTGCGGGGCGGTGGAGCTGGGGGTTTGCCTGATCCCCCGGTGGCACTGTGGTATTGCGTGGGTGCCGTAGTCGTTGGTTGGGTTATTGTGTTCGTATTTGTGTCCACCGACTCTGTGCGCTGGAGAATGAATCGCTGCCCAGCCTGCTGGTGATCACTGCTGCTGCGCTGGAGCCCCAAGCCGTCGATATAGTCCTCGGAACTGCCGTGTGTCGGTCGAAGAACGTAGCGGTAAGTGGGATCCAAGTAGTGGTAGGTGAGCATGAACTGAGCCGGAGGTGGAATGATACCAGCTCCTCCAGCTGCCTGCTGACGCGCCGCAATGTTGGCTACATCCTCGGTGGACAGAGCCGGGCGATAGAACCCCGCTTCGCCACCGCCTTCCGTGGGCGAAGCACCCTCTCCCTCGCTGGGCGAGGTATTAGCGTTGGCCTTTTTCCGGGCCGGCAGACTGTGCGTTTTCCACTTACCCTCCAACAGCTCACGCTCCCGAAGATGAACCCTCTCCAGCTCGTTCATCTTTTGCTGCAGCATGCTCTGCAGCTGGATGTAACGCATATGGAGGTCCACCTGGCAGGGATTGGTAAACAAAACGTTAAGAAAAGCTCAAGTTATTAGAATACGTCTTCATACCTTCCGGACACAATCCTCAAAGAGGACGACCATTCGCATTCTGCTGTCGCACTGCTTGATGAACTCCACAATGGTTTTGTGGTCGGCCTTCTCCATGTCGCTGCCATTGATGGAGAGTATGACATCGCCCTCGCGCATCCCTGCCCGGTAGGCAGGACCTCCGTACTCCACGTAGTCCACGTATGTAATCATCTCCAGCTCCTCGTCCCGCTTATAGTGGATACCGTAGCTCTGAAGGGTGAATCCATAGGAATCGTTTTTCTTTTCCACAATAATGGTGCGCCGCCTACGATCCTCGTCCGGCTTGGAGGCGAGAAAGCGTTCCGATTTATACCGCCCCAGGATATGGGTCGAACGAGATAGCTACGGGACACAAAAAAGAATGGGCTTATGGTGAAAGTGAAAAGCTTGTGTGCTGAACTATCGCCCAGCACTTCCGGGTATTTACACGTCTGCGGAATGTGGCACATCAAATAGCCAGCAGGTGTGGTGCTGAAAACCATCATCAAAATTATGTTTGCCAAGCCCATGCCCATTCCGTCGTCCTAGGCGCTCTTCCTGCTTTTATTGAAAGCATTTCCATGAATACTGGATGAAGCCCCCAGCCAGCAGCCAACACTTTCACTGGCCTCCTCCTCCTCCTCCCCCTCAACAAGAATTCAGAAGGGAAAACGAAAAAAAGAGCCCGCAAATTGCTCAAAACACAAAATCGTACAGGTGCGGAACAAATAATAGTCCTAAAGGTGGTACCCATAAAGTGATAGTCCCAAGCTAAGCAGGGATGCGTCTAAGCAGAATTAAATAATAAAATTTTTAATAAAAATATTCTACTTTTTAAATGGTACTAAATTTAAAAAAAATATATAAAAGGAAACTAAAATAAGAGCTTAAAGAAAATATTAACTAATACATTTTTTAAATAAAAAGTTATGTATATGTATGTATATTCCATTTTCACTTCCCACGACTGTTCTAGAAAGTAAATAACTAGATACAAACTACAAATGCAAGGATAGCCCGCGAGGCTCTTTCATTAACGCTTCATTGTGCGGACCATAATAACCGGCTTGAAAGGATTAGGAATTGGACTCCCGCCGGCCCTGATGCCATTGGCAAGGAAGCGCTAATTGTATGCCATTATGGCTGGCAGTAGGAAAATACAGTTTGCATTTTAAATTAGAAAAGGAAAATAAATTATATATAAAATAAAAAAACAAAAAAAACTAGAATAAAATGAGGTTTTGAAACATTTATTAAATTGAAACCCAAAGAAAGCGCAATGTTTTAAAATTTACATCGAAACTTCTTAAATCACCAAGGCAAAGTAGCTTTAAGGACAAAATATATTGTTTGGTTGGGAAAGTTATTCCAATATTTATAAAGAAGTAGTCCCTAAAAATATCTAACATGACTACTAAAAAAAACCAGAGTATATAGTTCAATGTTATTTCATACAAAGAATGTATAAAAAAATAAAAATGTATAATAAATAGCTCTACAAGATTCTAAAAAATAGTTTTAATTCAATTAGAACGTACACAAGTTTTCAAGTTAAACCATATTTTTTGTTATACTATTTAAAAAAAAAACACACACACAATAAAAGTCATTTTTGGATATTCTGACATCATAGTTAATGTTCCTCCACCAGCCCATAAAGTAAGCCAACTGGTTAATTTTTCTAATTGCCCGGGCCAAAGTCAATGCCTGTTCATGGATCCATCTGCTAGCTGCGTGTATGTGATACACACATATATCCGACTATTTCCGGGGCATTGAATTATTAACACTTGATCGACGACGGCGGTTGTTGGCGGCTGTTGAGGTTGCCTGGCGAAGCGTAAACTATGCATAACGACCCGACCGGCCGGAGGTTAAACAGCCAGGGGGCCGCAAATGCACAGGCCCAATGGGGCGGGGGAAAACGACCCCCAACGCGCCAAGCCACCCACTCGACAAAGGAACCACCCACCACCACCTACTACCACCCAGCACCCGCAAGACAAATTCAATTGAGCCAGCACTGCAGGACCCTGTCGCATTATCGTGACTCAGTGTGGAGGACAATCCAATTCATTTCGAGGCCCTTGCAATTGACTTGGACACTTGGAGCCTCGGCCACTTGGACTTGACATACCTGCGCATACTCGATCTCCTCGTCGCTGGCATCGAGGCTCTTGTGGAACTTGAGGCGTCCCAGGCTACCGGTGCCGTTCACATAATGGGAAGGCTGCTGATGGGTCGTGTGATAGTGCTGCTGCTGGGATTGGGATTGCGATTGTTGCTGCTGGCAAGCGGCGGCTATGAGAGACCCCACCGAGGTGGCATTCGATGCCGAGATGGACACCGCTGCCGCCGTGGTGGCCGCGCTGCTGGCAGCAGTCGCAATGCTCTGGCAGCTGCTGCTCATGGGCTTACTGGCCATCCTCGTATTGATTTCTTCACGCAGTCATAATTACAGCCGGGTCTTTCCTTCCTATCAAATGCGACACCGACAGATACAGATACCGAAACAGACCCTGCAACTGCCACTGAATCTGGGGAGCCGAGAAGAGCCGCCGCGCTGATTGAAAATGGCAACCGATACCAACCAAGTTCACACAAAGAGTGCTTGGTAATTACGATTTGTCATTGCCATTCATAAACTTTACTACTATGCCGAGCTGCCTTTATCAGTGTTATATTTGTTGATGCAAAACTTTTTTCATATTCGTGCGGGGTACGACTCGATTTTTTTCTTTTTGTGTCGCGTGAGTCTGTTTCCGCTCGGTTTGTTCCACTTCCGCTAAAGCTCGCTGCCGTACTGAGCGTCGAAGGTGCCGACTGAGTGTCCAGAACGGATGTGGAGAACGGTGGAGCGGACCACGGAGAGCGAAATGCACCCACACACAGGGCCAGCAGGGAAAAGCGGTTAATATTTATGGCACATGTTGACTGTTAGAGCCGTCGAGGCTCTGTGCTCAGAAAGGCAGAGCGCATGCGTCTATTTAACCTGTCCAGAAGAGCATAAATAGCTGTTAAAAGTTGCACAAAGGCTTAAATATTGAATAAAAATCAATTACCAATAATATTTTTACTTCCCACAAAGCTGTTGAAAAAAAATATTTTAGATTCCTTTATTTTAGTTAAGAATTCACGTTACAAAGTTCAAAATTCAATTCAAACAGGTCTGTTAGCTCTGTAAGTCTTAACATAAATTTTTAAAAAATACCAAAACTGACTATAATTTTAAAAACAAATATGTTCCGCTATACTTACATGGTACATTAAATTATGTTTCAAAACATATTCGAAGAACTGTCTTTGATTTGAATTACATTTTGATATACCTTTGGATAGTGTATTATAATTTAAGTCAAAATTGTGCAGCGCAGTCCCCGTAAAAAAATATAAGTAAATATATTTTTAATCAGGGCCACCTCCTGAATTGATATAAGCGTGTCTGTCTGTCCATCAGTGTGTCTGTTTCTAGTCTTTCGCCGTAATTGGCCGACTAATCCTACAGCTTCCATATAAATGATTGATCGAATAGGCAATAACTTTGGTGTTTTTTTAAAAAGAGAGTTGGGATTTCTGCGTTCTATTTTTGGCAGTACAACTTACAACATATATTTAGAGGAAATTTTTTTAGACATTTAGTGTTCAATAGTAATTTTTAAAGGATTTGTTTTTTTCTTTTTTTAAGTTAGAGTCTAAAATTTCTTTTTTTTTTAATTTTAATAAGATCCGCCTCCTTACATTTCTCTGTAAATCGTTACATGCCTGTTACTGATTATTATTTTGTGCGTTATTAAGATATTTTTATATATCCTCGCAGATGGTGTTCTAATTTTGGACAAAACTGTGGAAAATTTGTAGTATAAAATAAAAATATTCTTGATCAGGATTACCTCCTGAATTGAGAGTTGAGATTTCTATGAATTCTATTTTTGGCAATAGTACGACTTACCAAATTTCATATGCGATATACACCCGATCTTAACTACGGCTCCGACCGAAGTTAGATTTCCTTTTTTGTTTATTTAAAAACTTGTTTATAGATATTTAGTGGCAATGGTAATCTTTAAATCTTTGATTTTTCTATTTTTATGTTAAGTCTTGTATGTATTAAGTCTTGTTATGTATTTTTTTTAAACATAATCATATCCCCCGCCATACATTTCTCTGTAAATCTTTACATGCCTATGTTACTCAAAAATACAATTCCAACCTGTATTAAAACTCTTGCGTTATTATTGTAATTATATATTTTTGTTTAATAAATGGAACTTTGCTACTCCGCCAATTCGCCACCTGGAACCAACTAAAATTAATAAATAGGTTAATATTACTTTAAAAACAATAATTTATCCATTTACCATTGTTATGTTATTGCCATTTAGCAGAATCTGGTCGAGCTTGGTGATGCGGCGCCCATCCGGCGTATTTTCGTACTCCGTCACATCGTCCAGGAGCATGTTCACGAAATCATCGAATCCCAAAAGGGTACCCACCATCTCCTTGTCATTCTTCATTATTATGTGGATGCGGGAGCCAATGCATTTGTCCACCAATTCTGAAAGCCAGCAATGGCAGAGGTTGTTTGAAATATGGCGTTTCTATAGATTAATAACATATACTCACCCAGAGGCATGAGCGTGGCAATATTTGCAGGTGGCGGGACAGCGGTCATCTTTGCGAGCTTTGTGTTATTTTATTTTATAAAATAAAGATAATTTTGTCTTAAACCTGAGCTGCGGTAAACAATGCGGATCTAAGGTAACAATGGTCACACCAAAAACATCGCCGGCTGCGATGCGATATTAACAATAATAGCTTGAAAATGGCTAGTTTAAATAATGGAGCAATTTGTGAAGTTTTATCCGTTATTTAGATACAATATGCGTAATTTGACCATTTAAATTTATTTAAGGTTTTAAGTTTTTAAATTTAGTAAGAATAGATTGTGTTTGAGCTCGTGTATAACTCTTATTATTCTGAATATAATAAAAAAAACTTTACAATTAATTTTGATATGTACAATAAAAAAAATACCTCTTATATACCAATATAAGAAACCAAATGTTGAACAAAAAAGTTTAAAGCGCAAAAAAAGGTCTTTTGAGATGCTGGGTTACGGCATCGTAACCCAGATAAATGACGTCACAAATATATATTTTATTTACACAATGTATCGATATATTATATCGACAATTATAGCACAACGGTCACACCAACTGCCTGTCTTTCATAATTTCAAGATCAGAACTTTATATCTCAAAATTTGAGCAAACATCAGTCGCCGCCGTATGCGGGACAGCTGGAAAAAGGGGCAGGGTTGTGCCACTGCTCTACACTTACATAATGTCCCTGTCTCTGGTCGGCAAGGTCCGGAAGTGTATGCCAGACAAGCGGCCTCTCCTTCTTCTGTGTCGATCGCTGAACCAAGGTCAGTAAATTTGCATTTGTGTCAAAACACATCTAAGATATCATGTGATTTTCAAGGTAGATCTGACAACGGCACTGCGGCCCTTTTATTTTGCTGTGCACCCGGATTTCTTTGCCCAGCATCCTGAGCAGCGGAACACCAATGAGAACTCTCTTAAATTATTAAGTGAGCATCTGGAGGCTTTGTACGAGCGACGTCAAAAGAATGATGGCACGGGGGTCCTGAAATTCTACGTGCGCGCCAGCCCAGATGCGGACAAGCGTGACTCCTTCCGTTTAATCAAAATTCGTACAGATAAACAGAGTACCAGGGATCCAAAGATATTCATCCAAGGCCTGCTAGAGTCCTGTAATCTATCGACGGAGTATGTCAAGAAAATTAAGCCTCAACCGGAACCGCCAAAGGGCTCAGGGCAACACATGGGCTTCCAGCCCGGTAAGGACTATCATTACGACAAGGATTTTGCCGACTTTGAATACCAAGTGAAGAATGTAAGAATAACAACAGTTTTTCAATCAAATTATTTAAAACCATTGTAATTCCAGGAGCGTGCCAGCAAGCGACCTGACATATCTAGTTGGTTAAAGGACAATGTCGGCAAAGCAAAACAGCGTGCCAAGGAAACGGCCGAGCTACAGGCTGAAATCGATAAGCTTCAAAAGACGCTGGTGGCCAAACTGAAGCTGCGAGATGCCCGATACGAGTGTGGCTGGAACATCGAACACTATCGGGGATGCCTAAAAACACTAGAACGACTAGCTAACACACATGGCGTGGAATTGGCCCCTCTCAAGGGACGCATCGTCGTCTTTGCTCCCTTCACGGGTATCAGCCTAGAAGGACATGTGATGCTATTCACCGGTGACGTGCTTAACAACTGGATCGATTTCATTAAGAACATTCCCCACCACGACACCTACTTGAAGGTGGTTCCTGTGTATGAGCGCACTCTGTCGCGGGTTCTGCTGGATATTCAAATCGGTCGGAGGAAATTCATGCCCAAACAACAGGCCAGCGGCTACGCCAACCACCTCATGAAAGTTACCACATCGCTCAACGATTACCTGGGAAAACAAAAATTTCCGAAAGGCTGGCCCGAGTCGCTCAAAGAATTCACCATCGTTGTAGAGTCCGAAGCGGGCCCGTTGATGGTTAGCCCTACTGGTCAGTTCATAACACCCGCCACCTGCCCTGGCGCCATATTGGTTGATTTTATTTCTCAAAATATGAATCTGGCCAGGGATAGGATGAAACAGTACGCTCAGGACAAGCACGTCGAGCAGGAGCTAATAAACTCATGCATTAAGAAGCTCCAACTACACGCACTGACCAAAGATGATGCTATTACTCCAGATAAGATGATTTCAGCTCTCAGGGATGTTTCTGAAATGCAGCTTCAATCACTGCAGCAGGGAAAACTGCACATTACCCACTACTACTCGATTCTGACGGATGGAACCATGTGTATACCTTGGGACTTCAAGACGAAGTAGAAGAATATTTTTCTCATGTGCCTTATTAGTCAAAATAAACATAGTTATACAAATGGGTATCAAGATGATGGAATTGATTGTCGTCCAGCTAGGCGGCTTCACTGCAGTCCTCGAGACTCCAGGTGCACTCCCCGCGATGGGCAGCGAACTCTGATGCCCGTCGGGTGTACACGTGGTGCTCCTCACCATCCCAGTGCGAGGGATCTCCGCCGCACAGCACTGATCCTTCAGAGGCCGCATCATACAATGAAATTCCGTCGATTTCGTAAACCACCCGCCACCAGTTGATATTGCTCCGACTATATACATTCTTGGTAATGGAGTGATTCGCATTCGGGCCTGTCTGAGCAGCGGGCTCCATGAGGATGTAGCGATTTCTCCAGTAGGCACTGTAGAAGGCGAACTTGGGACGACTGTCGAGGCTGTTTTCACGTTGGATGAAATAGGCGGCCTTCTTCAGATCTCTAGCATTGCTGCAGATTAAATATGTTTGGGGACACTCGTATATATAGGAGTTGTCCGTAACATTGCGGATGCACACTTTGCGAGCAGTGTACAGGAGCTGTTCGTCTTTGGGGAGATGGGCATAGATCTTCGTCCTAAGAGAGGCATCCACTTCCTGCTCGAATCCAGGCTGTTCTAGTAAACTCCTAAGATTTTTTTGCAAGGCCAACTGAACCTTTGGGTCTTCACGCCTTAGCTCTTCTCGGGCAAGCAGCTGAAGATTGGCCTGAGCCAACTGTGTTATGTTGGCCGTAAAATTGGCCAGCCGTTCCACCACACTCAGGGGGGTTTCCAGAGCGAGGACAGCACTGTAGAGGACTTCCAGGATGTCTCTGAGGTAATCCAATGTGCTGAAAGTCAGGCGCGCCATCAGGGAGTTCACCAACGGGAAGGTGGCTGCAGGACTGTTTGTGTGAAAAGGTGCCTCCAACAATTGGGCACTGCGTTCGACAAAAGCCTGATATATACGCTCCATGAGAGGCTGGGGCACATCTGTGTGGAGACGCAGCTGCTCATGGAATTGGAGAATCTTGATGGGATCGTAGATTTGCTTGGTCTGTTGCAGCTCCTTCCAAAGGGCCGTGTAAATGGCCTCCTTTAGTTCCAGTGTTTTTGCCTCATTGGCCAACTGGAGCACTAGTTTGCCTCTCTCCCAGTCTCCACCTACTTCGGCACGAATAAGCGACTCCAAAGCGGATGACCCAGGAGGTCCCAGAGCCCCAAGAGCCGCCTCGTTGGTCCAGACATCAAAGTGCCCATACACCGGTGCTTCGTTTCTCCATATGTCGATGTGGAACAACACCTCCTGAGCCGGAGCACTTGAGTTGAGAGCCGCCAGGAGCTTGCTGCCATTATTTGGGATGTGGTTATCCAGAGCACTGGTCCATCGAAATGCCAAGATGAGAATCAGCCACACGGTTGCGGATGCCATTCTAGTCCAACTGGATGAGTGCCCTCAGAAGGGCAAGGCTTTTATAGGCGAGTTTCCAGTTGGTAGAGTATTTGTAGATCAATCGGATATTTGCTCGGGGATTTCGTTGTTGACCCTTGTGCCGATAAAAGCATACACCGTTTAATTGCATTTTGCACTTGGGGAAAACAAGCGGATCATAAACGGATATGCCTATATATATAATTGTATTGCATCATTTGTATGAAGTGGCCCATTTACACCTTTTTTTGTGGAACGGAAAGTTCTTTTAACTTAAATTAAAAATTTAACTTTATAGATAAAATAAATATTTCCAAACATTCAATTCTTTAAACCTTTCTCCTTCCTTTCTTTTATAGAGCTATGAATCAAATTCAAAATTTTAAAATTATAAACACTTATACTTATACTTATACATACACTTATACTCGTAGTTTGTTTTTTACATGCCAGGTGGCGGAGTTATATTAATATAAGATACTAGATGTGGATTGTGGAATGTAGGATTTGAGAGCAGCAACCATCCAGGCCGCCTTCGACGGCTTCTATACATTCTTATATTCTTTTGTGTCTCTAGAAATCGTCAAATTCATGATATCAACCAATACTTACACCACCAAGATCAAGGCCACCACTAGCATGGTGACCAGCCATACCCGCCACAGTCTTTAATAAGAAGAGCCGGAGACGCAATTGTTTGGAGGTTGAGGACTTTCACAGCGCCCTAGGATCCAGCATTAGCGACCAGAAGGAGAACTTTGCATCATAGATGATCACGAAGAGGACTCCTTCTTCGTGGATCTTTTGGTGATTCCCCGGCAGTGACAACGGAAGCCAATCCGCTAAAGGTTTCAACGGTATTGAAGGGGCTCTTTTAGCTGCCACCGTACAGCATCCCAGGTGGCAAGTCAATTAAACGCCACAAGACGATAGGGAAGTGTAGCGATAGAACCTCCAGCTCATCAACCGGTGGTGTAGTGGGGTTCAAAACCGCAGACCCTGTGCTTACTAGTGCCACCTAGCGGGCGGTACGGGTGGTAAATTGGCAACATTAGACGTAGGGATTAGGCAGGACTGCATTTACTTTAGCGTTTTAGGAGTAGCAGAAGTCTAGCCCTGGCAGTAAGCCATCTTGTAGAAACTGAGATCGAGAATCTGGTGCTTTCTTTTGGAATCAGACTCTGGACCGGCACGGATGTACGTCAGATCCACAAATTTTTTTGGTTGAAGCTATCGCCGAGTAACCCCAGCTTTGGAGCCGAAGGAGGCGAGCATAGGAACGCTAATTCCTGCCCCAAGAGGGCAGCTAAATTACCCATACCGACCAGATCCAGAACTCCGCCAGTCAACATTATCTACGCCCAGCCCATCATCCCAGCCCAGCCCATATCAGCATCAATTGGTTTGCGGTGTTGTTTTCGTAGGGTGATCGTCAGACACAAGAAAAAGAGCAGACGAAAACTCGCTGCTAGTTTAGTCTGCGCGTTGCTGATAGACAGCTAAGAACTCCGTGCGATTAGCTCCCAAACAAATACCCAAAATTAGGGAACGTCGCGAGGATGGCAAAGGTGTCGTCCATGCCAAGTATCATCAAAACCACATAAAGTCATTAGTTAATCTAACTATAAAGTATAATCCAAAAACCTATTTTAGCAAATTTAAAATCGGTACAAAGTTAAAATCGGTTAAAAAAAAAAAAAAAAATAAGGTTAAAACCACATGCTAAAATTGTGTAAAAATTAAATTTGTATATGTGTAAAACAAAAAAAAAAAGGAGAAAAAAAAAAAAAAAAAGGAATAGATCAAAAACGGGTGTGATGTAAATTAGAAAAGATGATGATTAAAAACGAGTAAGAAGTTGTATTAGATAGAGGGCGAAATTGAATAAAAACGCCGATAAGATAAATTCGGTTAAGTCTCGATGTGGGTGTATGTGCTGAAAAGTCTTCGCGAGTCGCTTTGGACTTGCATTTATTTACAGACTTCTTACGACACCTCCGATATTTGGAAGCGCTTTCAACGGTGGAGTATATCAGGTGAGCCAAGTCTGCCCAACATTTACCTTTTTCGTCTGCATATGCATGTCATCTCGATTCAGAACCGAAATTTGAAATCAAATGAAATGAAATGAATACGTTAAAAATAAAGTTAACTTATTAGGCACTATTAAAGGAAAAAAAGAGAAGATAAAGTTAAAAATAAAAAGAAAACATTTGAATATAATGAATAAGAAACTGCATCACATACGTTTAATTAGAAATATTTGCATTTAATAATAAATATTACACTTAGTAAAATATAAATATATAAATAATACGTAAAAAAATCCTTCCTAAATTCAAATACAAATTATTAGCATTGGTTCTAAGTAATAGAAGTTTGTAAAACAGTAGTTATTAAGAAATGAAGTAATCTTTTAGGCTTTAACTCAAGAAAACAAAAGTAAACAAAACGAGATGTACATTTTTAAGTTTAATAAATACGCCATTATAATGAAAGAGTAGAAAACCCTGTTGTAACTCCATGCCGATCACAGAGCCGTCGTAGGGTCATAAACTCAAAGGGGCCTGTTGCAGGATCGTTGGGAAAACGCACTGGCCATGGTAGGGTGGGCTGAAGACACCCCTTTTACATCTCGGGGTGCGCAAAGTGAGAGTACTATCCTAGTTCTTGTCCGTCCGTTTGTTAAGCTATCTCTTGTCCGGCCGAAATTGGCTCGTTTTTGGCACGCAAATAAAACTGATTTATCCCAGATAACTATGAGCACCTGTAGGCTATAACCGCTGAAGAACACCACTCCATTCGCTGACGAGCTAGAGCCGGAATTTAATGCGTGCCGTGTTATTAGCTTGCAAAGAACACCAGCTCTATGTTGTTCGTTACAGTGGCTATCAGCAAAATGAATCCCAAACCAAGTCCCTGAAGCACGTGGGCAGGAACTAGGGCTCTACGAAATCTCCTCTATCCGGGAGTTAAAGTTTAAAAAACAAAGTTATAAATAAAATAGCTTTTGAGTTTTCCATCATGTATTTCGGTTGTTAAATGTAGTTTATTTGTGATTTTTTTAATAGGCAACCGCGAAAATGCTGATCCCTCCCCAAGGGCGTCTCCGATGTGGAGTTTTCTTCCGCCAAACTCAATCTGTCATCGTTCGCCACTACGCCAAGAAAGGCAAAGAAGTGGACAAGGCGACCTTAGCGGAAATGGAAAAGCAATACCAGAAGTTTGCCAACACTTCCTCCAAATCGCTGCTGAAGAAGCACCTCACCAAGGAGATCTTCGATAAGCTGAAGACTAGGACGACGCCCTCGTTCAACTCCACGCTGCTGCACTGCATCAATTCGGGTATGTGCAACCCCGACTCCGGTGTCGGTATCTACGCCCCGGATGCCGAGTCATATAAGGTTTTCGGCGCCATCTTTGACCCTATAATTGAGGAGTACCATCGGGGATTCAAGAAGACTGACAAGCACCCGGAATCCTGCTATGGCAGCGGTAAGGACTTCGCCAACCTGGACCCAGACAACGCGTTCATTGTATCCACCCGGGTGCGTTGCGGTCGATCCGTGCAGGGGTATCCCTTCAATCCGTGCCTGACCGAGCAGCAGTACGCGGAGCTGGAGTACAAGCTCTGTTCAGCCCTGCACTCCCTCGAGGGCGAGTATTACGGTAGCTACATGCCCCTCGCTGGAATGGACAAACAGATGCAGCAGAAGCTCATCGACGACCACTTCCTCTTCAAGGAGGGCGATCGATTCCTAGAGGCAGCAGGTGCCTCTCGCTTCTGGCCCAACGGCAGAGGCATCTTCTTCAACAAAAAGAGGAACTTCCTGGTGTGGGTCAACGAGGAAGATCACATCCGCATCATCTCGATGGAAAAGGGAGGAGATCTGGGCAGGGTCTACGATCGCATGATTGGCGGCGTGGAGGCGCTCGGCAAGAAGGTCAAATTCAGCCGGGACGAGCGCCTGGGCTTCCTCACATTCTGTCCCACGAATCTCGGCACCAGCATTCGCGCCTCTGTGCACATCAAGCTGCCCAAGCTCAACGAGAACAAGGAAAAGATGCAGAAGCTGGCGGACAAGTACCACCTGCAGGTCCGCGGCACCAGTGGAGAGCATTCCGAGGCCAAGGGCGGGGTGCACGATATCTCCAACAAGCGGCGCATGGGCCTCACGGAGTACGAGGCCATCAAGGAGATGCATGACGGGATCAAGGCCCTGATTAAAGCGGAGTGTAATGCCTAAGACCGAGCTAATTCAAAAGTAATCTAAATTCTAGTAGATAAAACAAATTTTTCCTTTACTGTATATTGTTCTAAAAACCAACTTAGAAATGTAATTTAATATATCTTTTAAATATTACAGTTAAATGGCAGCTTATATCAGCTTGACGGGATATACATATGTTGTTGGAATTTCACTATGAAACTAACTTCTTCGATTTAAAAACAATTAAAAGGTCCCAAGCTTCTATCTTAAAGAACCCTCAAGTTGTGTAGTTTCCGAATGTTAAGTTAGATTGCTGCTATAGGATATAGTATAGCCGATCCTTCTGAAATTTTTTACAATAGACGAGGGTATACCCTGAAAGTTTTAAACTTCTTTGCTTCTTAAAAACACCTAAGTTCTGTCAGTGGCGATTGTTCGATTATCTGGCAGCTATGGGCGGCCTATGCCGATCGTTCCGATATACATACAAATTTTTAATATGGATAGGATAAAAGGATAAGTGGCAAGTTTAGGATGAAAACTACGAGACTAGTTCGCGTAGCTACAGACAGACATTCCTATAAAATCTCGGTTTTCTGTTCAAGGATCAGAAAAGTACGGTTACTACACCCATCTATATAATAATAAGAGATAGACCTACCATTGACCTTAGACCTTGTTCTTCTGTTCGATTAAAACTCACATAAAAGTTGGGTTTTTTATTTGATTTTTTTTTTATTTTTTAATAATTTTAATTCTTTTATAAACTTAAGGCTTAAAATAAAAGTATTTAAAGTTCTTTTTTTGTTTTTCTTGACCCAGATGTCAAAATGTTTTACATTGTTTGGTTGTTGTAATTAAGCAAATGTTTTTTTTGTCAAATAGTTATCCATTGTATAGCTGCTGCTGCTTGGTGGTGGGTGCAATAGGTGGCGAACGAGACCACTGCCGGTTCCCGCAACTCTCAAAGTATACGAAAATGCCGAAAGTCGCCGGGCGGGGACAGTCGCTTCCCATCCGCACCATCGCCGCAAACTAGAGCCAACGATTTTAAAGTGTGGGTGCTGCTGTTCTCCTGCTGCTGATCGTAGATGTTATTAGTGTTTTGTTTTTGTTTGTTGATTGTTGCGTGTTCCCCGGCTGCTGACTACTGTTGGAGAGGTGGTGGTTCCAGGTGCAAGATCATAGCTCGCCGGGGGGACGATGCTCGGCGGTGTGCAAACAATTTACAGGCTCTTCTCGAGCTTGATCAGCTCGGTGATGCCATCGTACATCTCCTTGACGGCATCGAATTCGGTGAGACCCATGCGACGCTTGTTGGAGATGTCGTAGACACCGCCCTCAGCCTCGGTGTGCTCGCCGCGGGTGCCGCGCACCTGCAGGTTGTACTTGGCGGCGACCTCCTCCAGCTTGGCCTTGTTGGAGGCCAGCTTGGGGACCTTGATGTGCACGGAGGCGCGGATGGTGGTGCCCAAGTTGGTGGGGCAGAAGGTCAGGAAGCCGAGACGGTCGTCGTGGCTGAAGGGCACACGCTTCTCGATCTCGTTGACGGCGGTCACCAGACGCTTGTAGATCTGGCCCAAGTCACCGCCCTGCTGCATGGAGATGATGCGGAGGTGATCCTCCTCGTTGCACCAGACCAGGAAGGTCTTGGCATCGTTGTGGTAGATGCCACGACCGCTGGGCCAGTAGCGGCAAGCGTTGGCGGTCTGCAGGAAGCGATCGCCCTCCTTGAACAGGAAGTGGTCGTCGATCAGCTGCTGCTGGACGGCCTTCTCCATGCCGGTCAGAGGGTAGAACTTGCCCTTCAGCTCGCCCTCCAGTCCGGAGAGGGTGGAGCTAACCTTGCCCTCCATCTCCTTGTACTGGGCCTCGGTCAAGCAGGGGTTGAATGGGTATCCCTGCATGGAGCGGCCGCAACGCACGCGAGTGGAGATCACGTACTCGTTGGTGGGGTCAACGTTGCCGAAGGTGGACACATCTCCGAAGTTGGAGGCCGGGTGCTTGTCGGTCTTCTTGAAGCCACCATGGTAGTCCTCGATGATGGGGTCGAACAGGTCGGCGAACACTGTGTAGGCCTCGGCATCAGGAGCGTAGATGCCCACACCGGAATCGTGGTTCTCCAGGCCAGACTGGATCACATCCAGCAGGGTCGACTTGAAGGTGGGGGTCACCTTGTTCTTCAGGTTGTCGAAGACCTCCTTGGTCAGGTACTTCTTCAACAGCGACTTGGAGTCGGAGGCAGCCAGCTTGGCATAACCCTCCTCCAGTTTAGCGAGAACAGCGGCATCAACCATGGTGTCTTGTTTGCTGCAAAAACGGAGGAGAAAAGAGCGAGGGGTTGACCATTAGTAAAGGGCGTGGCACATTCAAGTTTTATTGTTTTTTTTTTTTTTTGCTTCTTTTTAAGTTAAGGCTATTATTGTTTTGTGGCGCCTAAAAGTCGGCAACATGTTTTCTTGCTTCTGGTTTCCTCAATTCCTGCCCTGCCTGTTTGCCCCGCAATTAGTTTCGGGTTATGGCCATGTGCTGAAACTCGACTTTTTTGTGGCACGCGACCGCCAGATATACCCCATTCCTCGTAGCCCACTCAAACCCATCACACCCAACATGCCTCACACTCTCGGAGATTCCGGAAACAGTGGTTTGAGAATACATATTGCAAAATATGTTTAAATTAAAAAAAATAAATTTGAAAAATATATATTGCAATTAATTACTAATATTATCATCCGATCTATTATCAATCTAATTACTAGTTTTCTTCGTTTAAATATTATAGATTTTTTAAGGGTTGAAATAAGGTAAATTAGATATTAAAAGGATCTGTACCAAAAGAGCGAAGCTATCTGTTTTTTTTTTAACTACGGATTTATCTCCTTATCTATCCATTATTATGGTTATAACATACCCCATCCCTTGCTTAAGTATACCTAAAACTATTGCCATTTTTGATATCCATTGTTAATATAATTTTTTTTAAATGATAAACTTTTTTTTAAGAAGTCAGACCCACTGTGCACCACCCATTATTAGTGGTGGTGGTGGGAATACTATGTGCTCTGTATGTCTCTTGTTTTCGGTGGTGGTTGGGATCCGACTATAAAATTTGCCGGTTGCCGCTGAATACGCAAATCGACGGCACACTATAGCGTATGTAGCCGGCCCGTCCCCGTCACCATCCCACGCCCTGCTCTCGCCCCCGATCATGCGCACTAGCCCAGGAAGGCAATGGCGACGGGCCGAAGTCCTGGTCCTGGACAAGCGACCAGGGCGCAATAATAATTTTTTTATGGCACTTTATTTTTGGGCGCTTTCAGACAGAGCTCGGCACGCACTCCAGCCACCGACCCAAACAGACACACACACACACATATGACGTCAGCCCCCATCCCCATCCCATCCCAGTGCCCAACTCCCTCCCACTTTCCGATACAGACAACCGCTGTCTAGGAGACCTAGGCCAAATATGCCCGGATCCCAGGATACACACCCATCTTCTCCAGCGGCAGCAGCCGTGGCGGTGCCGTTGGGCTCGCCGTTGGCCACCTCGCCCTCGATCACCTTCTCCTTTTTGTCCTTGGAGGCGCAGAGACCCATTTTCGGTAGTTTAAGATTGGTTTTGGGTTTGTAGAGTTGCTTGTAAAGTTTCAAAAACGTTTTCGAAAAATTTGGCGTTTCTTGGTCACAAAGTCGTGTGGTTCGATTTTTTATACCCTTGCAGAGGGTATTATAATTCTAATCTTCGTTTTGTTTTTTTTTTGGTTTGTATAGTAAAACAGAATGTTTGTGTTTTTGCAGTTTTGCAGGTAAAATGAAATCACAATGCAGCTTTAGCTCTAAAGGATCGCTCACACAAACACACACACACACACAGACACGCTTGGCTTAAATGTATTGCTTTTGATTTTCAAGGATTCTTTTCTTTTCCAGGATGCTTGGTGGTCTGCTTCGATGGTATGAAATAAACGGACGCAATATATTTTAAATATTTTGTTGGTCGCTTTTTCCGGGTTCCGAAGACTTGGCTTTTCGCTGCTGCCGCGCCCAAATGTATACTACACTAAACAAACACTACACAATGCTATTGGGGGAGCGAAGGACTTGCTGACTGCTGCTCGGCTGGCTGACTACTGGCTCTGTATCCTGCCCTGCTCTGCTCTGGCTGGCTTCGTTGGTGGCTGCTCTGCAAAATATTTTAGCGCGCGCGAACAAGGACGAACAGGCTCAATCGGCAAGTTGAAAGGAACTGGGAGCTGGAAACTGGGCGCCCGGAGAGAGGTCGCACCCAAGGGCCTGGAGTTTACAACCGGCAAGCGGCATTCAGCGCTCGCTCATCGAGCAGAGAGTGCCTCAACTCCGGTCTCTCCGGCCCGATATCGAAGTACCGTGGAGTACTGGGATGTGTTTGCCGAAAATTCTCAATAGTGGTTATAATTTCGGTGGATGGTTTGGTTTGGTTGTTGGGCTCAGTTCGGTTCGGTTCGGTTTCAGTTCGGTTGGGTCCGGTCCTCTGAGGGGTGGAAGCAACCGGCAGCATTAGCAGCATTGCCTATCCGCAGGCGCCGGCCCAAACTGTTGCCGGATGAGCAGCAACATAATGCGGAAGGATATATTTACACGATGCGCTGGACCTGAACCTGAACTGAACGAACCCTCCACCAACCATCCAACCAACCCACCACCCAACTCTCGGCCCGAATCAATAAAATTTATAGCACGCGACGGCGGCTGGCAGCTGGGAATTGTTGAGTCGGTCGGTCAAGTCAACTTCAAGTGTGAAATGTGCCCTGGCAATGACAGGAATCGGTGGTGCCTCACTCCTTCCTCCCTTGAAGAGGTCCTCGAGTGTGTAAAAAATCAATTACTCGGCAAATCGAAATCAAAGCCAGCTTGCCGGGTTCCCAGGACAAGGACGCGAGCACTTTAAAACGGGGAACTAGTGAGCCCAACTGGTTCCAAGCTCGTCATCGCATGTCTCGGACACATTAGGCCGTGAAATATAGTTGCTTATACTGTTGTTTTGTTTAAGCTAATTTCATTTGCAGCTTCAATTACTCAGTCAGTAGAAAAAGTGGAAACAAAACGAAAACAAAAGGGGGACCTGAGACCGGGTGAGTGCTGACTAATCGCACTCGATCACTTTTCCTCTTCCAATTGCCAGCTTCAGTTTCAGTCTCAGCTCACTGCTTTTATTTTTCGTTTTTCACTCCATAAATACATATTGCAAACTATTCGCCAGCCTTTGCAAGTGTTTATTGATTGTGGAATTTTCAGCGGCACCGCTCTGGAGTTATGACTGGTCTCCAGGCCCGATTCGATTGCCACTCCAGCGCTCCACTATGAGTAATCTGGGGCTCGTTAAGATAGTGGGCTTTTGCAAAGTGCAATAATGTACCCGTGACTGGTAAAGTTTCCAGTCCTAAGTGGCACGGAATCTCGCAAGATAATGGTAATGACTTATTGGCCTGCCTAGCTGACGTTGGAACTAATCAATTAACTCGAGTGCTCAGCCCTAGATAGGAAACTGGAGCGAGTGCTAGACTGGGTACACAGTGCCCGGGGGAGGATGGAGCGATGGAGGAAAAGGCCATTAGGGGAAAGTGACTCAGGCAGCAAGGATGTTTTCCTGCCGGCACTTAAAAGCCAAGCAAATCGAATTAAGCCGGCGCACCATTGAAAAAACTGATTTCATTATGTAACCCTTGATGAGCAGCGGACAGACGCGTCGCGGATCAAAGGGGCAGGACAACCCTCGCTACTATCGACAGGATCAGGGACAGGACCAGCAGCCGAGCAGCTCAAGAATACAAAGCAAGCACACGCGTCAGCAAGTCGACTTAATTCGGCCAATTAGAGCCCTGGCTTTATAACGATATCACGCACTGAACACTGATTTTTGCAACCGTCAAGGCTTGGCAACAATTCGCGAATGGCTGGCGGTTAAAAGCGGCGAAAGCCAAAACACCTGCCATTACCGGAGAGCTGGAGCTGTAGCTGGAGCCGGAGCAAGAGAGTAGACGAGAGCAGTGGAAATAGAGCGATTTTGGCCAGATAAGCAGACGGCTGATAAGCCTTAAACTTTCAATTGTAAACCGCCGAAAGGAGCCCCCCGGCTGATAAGATTGCCGGAGATGAGTGCAAACACTTCTCCAAAGCCACAAGTGGTTGTTTGGCTCAGACTATCAGCCCAAGTCAATAAAAGTGACAGTAAAAGAATTAAAATAGAAAATCGCGATGGATGGCTGGAATTCGGCAAGCCTCAGTGCAATGGGCTAGTTCCGTCCGCAGTCGACCGACTGGCCGTTCACCCGAGAAATCGCAGCAATAGTTTCCTTCTTTAATTGCATCGCCCGGCCATTTTGGCCAGTCGATTGCACAAAGAAATTGGCAAGTGTACGAAAGTAATTCCGAATGTATTTTCGGGAAATTGGACAACGCATACGTGAGTGACTGCAGCGGGAAATTGGCCCGGTCGGCCTGGCCTGGCCTGGTCAGTGACCAGACTCGATAAGGGGAGTGGAAACTTTCGGACATTAATTGAATCTGGGATTGTTCGACATGGACACGGTCATCCCCTATCCCCCGACACCCATTCCAGCAGCCAGCCAGCAGGCGGCAGCGTTCTGCCAATAATATTCTGGCTGTGACATGAATTCGACATAAGCTCTTATTAATATCTGGCCTTATAGGGGTGAGGATTCTGGGTCGAGGGGTGAGCTGGGTTAGGCAGCACTGGGTCTGCTGGTCACCCGCATTTAGTTCTGAGATCTCCCTATTTATTAATATTTTTCCTCGGAAGAGGTTCCTAATTTAATTAAAATTCCTTTGGCAGAACGTCAAAGAGGCTCACACTCAATTAGGCAGAATGCAAAGAAATGAAACTAAATATATATACCAACTCTGCGTAGTATGTTTGTGTATATGGCAGCCAAATAAGAAAAATAATTCATAGCAGCAAGTGGCAAATATATATTTGCCGCGGGCACTACCCGGATGTCGTTGATTTAAATTTTCGCTGTCTGGGAAGACAATCAGCGAAAATCAGACGATGCTTCATTAAGCCAGAGGAGCGGCAAAGGGTTTATAAGTAGGATGACCGGCAGCATGACGTTTTAAAAGTTTTGATATTCTGCCAGAAGTATTTATATAATTATTATTTTTATTAAAATGGCTACATTGTCTCCTTTGAATTACATTCTTGTTGGAAATAAGTTTCTCCTATTTTACATCTTTCTACCTGATCACCTTGGCGCCACCTAGTGTGCCTCTCCACAGGCACAAGTATATTTTACATTGTTTTTTACACAAAGTTAACCCCTTGAATGCACTAGAGAAAGCTTCCTCTGAAGCGTCCTTGAAAGTTTCGAGAAGAAAGTAAAAGCTTTCTCCCTTTTCAAAAGCTTTCATTTCATTCATAGAAACAGTCGCGTCTGAAATATGGCACCCAGCTCATCGCCATCGCCATTGCCAGACATTTTTCGCTGAAAGCGTTTGAAAAACTCGATTTGTTTACGTCGCTGCTGAAATTACAGATAGTCCAAATATTTGTTTATTTGCTGGCCAAATGAATTGCGAGGAGAATGGCGCTGATTTCTATTATTTGAAATTGATTGGCTGGCACTTTTCCCCCCAACACCCACCCACACCGACACCCTTTTTTCCTGAATGCGATTTCATTTCCTGTCTAGCCAATAGCCCAACCCAGCTCCGATTATGCAACTAGCCTTCTCCGCCCCCCTCCCCGCCTTTTGTTTGGCCTGGGAAAATAGAAGCGTTACCTTGTTAACTATCTAAGGCTGGGGAAATGGATTTTTCCATCATTGTGACAAGTTAATCGTGTGCCAGTTCCTCGCCGGAGCAGAGGAGGCCTCTATTTTCCCGACTCTGCCTTTTCCGTTGTATTCATTCGAGCGCTTTAATGGATCTCAATTGAATAATTAACAGCAACGTGCCAGAGGCAAACAGTTTGTACAACAAATTTCGCGATTTGTTTGCCTGGCCAGCCCAGGCAGAGAGTATGATATGTTTAGAAAAAGCCAAAATCATACCCAAGTTCCCTCGTAAACTTGTCAGCTGTTCCACCACCTATGAGAGCCTATGGAATTCAGGAGGCATGGCTACCTCAAAGACCTCTGTCTGTGTCCGAGGCCTCCCCTGTGGTGGTGCTTTGTTTTGCTTATTCGCCGTGGCGGGCTGTGTTTGTGGTATTTTTAGCAGCCGGCATTAAATCAACCCGAACTAAATTTGGCCGGGTAAATTCGATCGGACCTTCCCAGTGGCTCGCCAACTGCCGGCTTATATAATGGCTGGGAGGGCAGCCCATCGCCGCGATTTCTGCCAGCCCAGCACTAGCCAACCGAAATTGCAGATGCAATTTCTTCCTCGAGTTATGCAATCGCCTGGCATTGACCACGAAAATGAGTGTTTTATTGCCTTCCCGTTCAGAACACCCCTCGGTGGGTGGGTTCAAGTTCAGGGCAGCTGCTGACGGGGGAGGCGAAAGCGAAGAAGCCAAACAATCTGCAAGCTGTCGCCTCTTATCTAGCATTCAGCTAACAGGGCTCTAACTCGGGCCAATATCTTATCGGAATCGATACAGAAACAACCTGCTACCGCCACTTTCATCGCCCAAGAGCCAATGAACGGCCGACCTTAGACTCGCAGAATGCACTTGGCAGGCGGTACAGTTCTCCGTTCATTGGCATTTGGCCGCAAAATCGCAAGACTGTCAGACAGTCGGACAGTCCCCAGACCGTGGCTAAACAAGTTTCTGCTGGCTGGCAAATAAATGCAAAAAAAAAAAGGGAAAAAACGAAAACTGCATAACGTAACTACAAGCTTGAGGCTACGAGGAGCCGCCCGTATAAATTTATTATTTGCCGGTAACCGGTTTTGAATTGCAAAAATGCATCGGTGACTCAACTGGGGATGCGAGAGTTGCACAAAAGTTCGGAGCACGGAGGCACTGCTTCACCACAAGATAAAATTTATTAAAAATTAACAGCACTAGGTGGCACATGGCAACATAAAAATTAAGTAGAGCTCTAGGACATCTTTACCATTTTGAATGGAATTGCGAGATAGGAACCCTCAGTTGCCACAAAACCATGAA